GCTTTCAGAACCCAGAGTGCCTTGTTTAAAACATCCCACGCGTGAAAATCTGAGCAACACACAGCCAGAAAGCACTGAGAATGCACAGAGAAGTTGATTGGAAATGCTGCAGAGCTCAAGACAAGGCTGTGCTCTGCACGTGTCTCTTATCTCCTTCTTCTGGCTCCCTTTGGCCCTTTCTGCTGTGATGGTTGGTAGCCAGGAGTGAGACTGGCTGGCTAGGAAAGGGATGGAGATGATGGGTAGAGGCAGCAGGGAATTCACCTCTCATTGCCTAAATTAATGGTGACCCAGGAAGGCTCAGGATTGCCTTGAGAAAACACGCGTAAAGTGATCCCTCCTGCCAGGTCTCCTCTGAGGCTTTGCTGGAGGAGGCTGGGGGTAGGGAAAGAAGCAAAGATCCCGCATCTGATCTTCTGCTTCCAAGCCTGGTTTTACTGAGCGGTGCTTTCTTTTCCTGGGGGATGCTTGGTGGTTTCCTGCAAATGCATTCCCCCCCCCAGAAAGAAACAGCCTAAATTTCTCCCACTGGATCCTTCTCGTGGATTATCTGATGTGGTGAGCACTCTGCTGTGATGCAGGGAAGGCTCTGGAGAGAGGAGTGAAGGGAATGATGACTGTGCAGGGAAAGCTCCTTGGCTTATCTTGGAGAAGTAACCCCACAGGAGGCTGTTCCTCTTTCTTCCATTTGTAATTAAAGGGAAGAAGAGGGAAACCCCAGGCCTCTAAAGAATAAATGCGTGGTGGTTTTTTCCCTACTCTGACAGAGTTGGGAACAGGCACAAAGAGGGACATGGGACCCCTTTTGCCAAAGCGCCTGCAGCAGGAGCTGGCTGGGGATGTGTACGGGGGGAACGGGAAGGATGCTGCAGGATGCAGCTGGTGATCGTACCAGAGCCCAGGTGCTGCTGTGAGCCACATGCTGGAGTGACTTGCCACGAGTGCTTGCCCACGAGGCTTTTGTCAAGTCTGGCTGTCTGAGCAGGAGGAGTGCTTTCTTCTTCCCTGCAGCCACCCCCCCAGCTGCCTTAGGCTGTTAAAGTCATGCTAGAGAGCACAAGCATAAAAGAAACCCCAGTTGAGCCCCGTGGTTACAGCACTGCAGCCCAGGACACTGCATGCCGTGGCTGTTCATTCTTCTGGGTTGTTTAATTGCTGTTCCTGACAGCGGATTGGTTTGAAACAGCTTCTAGCCAGAAGAAAGGAGCATGCGATGCAGAATCTCCTGTGGTGAGACAGGAATGACGCTCCTTCTCCTTGCGTTGTGTTTCTCATTTTGATATTTTAGCATCTTTTCTGCATATGTCTGGTTCATTGCTTTCAGGAGAGCTAAGTGCAGTTGTCAGAAACTATTATTAAACTAAGCTCAATGCTGCCTACCTTTTGGGTGCATTTAGAAATGCATTTAAAACGAATTTAGAAAATTCAGCTGCACATGAGGACCCACCAAAAATGGGAATAACCTTTCCTGGAGATGAACAGTCCCAAATCTGCATGGGTGAGGGAGCCCAGGAGCCACTGGGTGTATTTCCAGAAGGGCTCTCCCAAGCAAAGCAGGACTGGCTTTGGCTGCCTTGAGAAAAGCAACGCAAGTGTAGATAAGCAGAGTCATTTTTGTAGTAAGGAGGATTAACAAGGTCAGTTTTAATCCTAAACCCTCATCAGCAGCCAAGGTTTGAAATGCTCCTGCCCAGAAAGGAAAACTGCAGAAGAAACAATGAGGATAACCCTGCCCTGAGTGACCAGATGGGAAAAGACTCTGAAATCTTCTGCATTTACTTACACTGCTTTTTGTTGCCAGTGGAAGCTGCCTTGAGCAGTCAATGAAGGGAGAGCTGCCTATTCACTGACAGGCTTGCAGATTTATATTTCATTATTTAGCAGCCACAAAAGGCTCCCCATTCCTGCAAATAATTAACTGCCTGGCACTTCTCAGGGCCTTCAATTACACACCTGCAGAAGTATTTGCCTGATCAGGACCTCAGAGAAAAGAATCAATAAAGAAACAAGTTTAATGCAGCTTTTAAATAATCAGTTTGGTGTTATTTCTCTGCTGCCTTACCCATAAAGGTGAAACCTTTATACTCTAATGAGCATTACCTTCATTTCAGCCCAGCCTTATAGCCTGAACATATTTGCTTTGGGTAGAAACTGCGGAGGCCAAGGGGGTGAGCCTTTTGAAAAAATCAAGTTAATTTAATTCTGGCTGCTTCTGGCTTCAATGGACTCCAATAAAAACAGAAGTCTGATTTCTTAAGCACCTTGCTTTAAAAGCTCATGCTACTCTCAAAAGGCATAGCAGGCTAATGTTATGATGCTAAGGGCTGGCTGAAATGGCTCCTGCAGATGAGATTTTCTAAAGGAGCTTTGTAGCTCCTCATGAGTCTCCTGAGCAGAGAACAAGTCTTACTCCGTCAGCTTTTAGAGATGTTTTCAGCATCTGCTAGAGCTCAGGGTGCTGTGGAAGGCAGTCGGAGGGAACAGCACTCCCAGGGCAAAACTGGAGAAACAGAGACCTCCTCCTGCAGGTCTGTAAGCTGGTCTGACCCTTGCCAAGCACGTGCGTAGCTCTCTGCCAGGTCTGCACGAGAAGCCTAAACACTGGGAAATATTTATGTTGTTAAATGACTTGTGTTAATATAGTGTTACACTGAGATGGTGCCTCTGTGAAGCAACTGCAAAAGACAAACCAAGCAGGCAAATGAATATATTGTGTTGTAGTATGCGTTGGTAATATAGTGTATTATTTGATCCTATTACATCAGTATTATATGAAAATAACCCAATGCTGGGTTATTGATTTCTGATTTGTAGTGCGAGTGGTGGCTTGCCAGGCTGCTAGCTACTGGTAGAAGGAGGAAATGGATTCTGGATGCTTGTGACTGATGCTGAAAGATCAAGGGAGAAGCCAGGTTGCATCCCCGCTGCCCTTTGTTGGTTACCCTTGGGCAGTGTGTGTGCAGCAAGCTGCTGGGGCTTCTCAAGCCACCCTTGTGAAGATATAAGCAATAACTCAGAGTATAACAGGGAAAATTCAGACCAGAAAATAAGTTATCTGCAACTCTGTTTTCGATAGGTAGATTTGGTAATAACAGACCTTCAGGTATTGCTTGGTGCTGCTTGACCCCTAAGGCTGTGACTGCTGATCTGCCCCTCTGAGGATCCCGGCTGAAAGAAGGTGTAATGCTGGAGAGAGGGAAGGAGGGATCGCATGGAGCATGTGTCAGGAGAGTGGAAAAAAAGGAGTCTCTTTTCCAAACCAACATCATTAAAGAAAAAAAGCAAATCACAGAGTCTGCAAGGAAGCCCTTGAGGACAAAGATGGGAACAGAGTTGGGCAATGCAACAAATAGACCATTTTTCATCACAATCTCATAACTGCTGTCTTGTTCCCAGTCTGCTCTTATGACAGACTTTGCAATACCCACTGGGGACTCTTCTAGGACACAGTGCTGTGAGCCAGAACCTCATTTTAGCATTATACCAGGGAAACTATGCTAGGCAAACTGGAGCCACGGAGTCAGGTTTGGATCCAAAGTACTCTTTTTTTTTTCTTTTTTTCTTTTTTTTTCTTTTTTTCCTTTTGGCTCCAGAAGCCCAGAGCAAGGAATGTAAATTGGCTTTGCAGAAGTATGTCAATTTTGGTGCCAAAGTTTCATTTGATATCATCTCTGTCTGGCACCTACACAGCAGGTGCTTCCCGAGATGACCTGAGGCGCGCAGGCACAACGCGAGCACCGGGTCATGCGTCTTGCACGAGGCTACGTGCCACTGCCTCCTTGCAGCCATGGAGGCTGTCTCCTGACACTGTGCCCCCAGCCACAGCTACAAATGGATTTTGCAGGAAGGCTGGCTGCTCCAGCCTCCTCCACCGCTACCCAAACCAACGCGCTGCCTCACAATCCATCACGCGAGCGATAAGCCTTCAGTGCTCGCTGTGAGTCATCCCTACAAACTCCGTGTTGAGTCCTGCGGAGGCTCTGAGCTATTTGCTTGAGTAAAAAGTGCTCGGAGGAGCTTAGGATGTAGACCTGGCCCCCTGTGACAAGCATGCCCCTTCTCCTTTGGCCATCAGGTTTGTACCTCGGTCTGTGCTAGCTCTCAGCCACAGGAGGTGTTCAGATGCTCATCTCAATAGTGAGCAGGCATCAGGTGAAACAGGCAAGCCTTCTTCAGTATTTGGGCTTGTGGCCAAGCAAAAGGACAGATCTTGGACTCAGAGCAGTTTGGAGTGTCAACCATGTCCCAGGGAAGGGCAGGAGCATCTAAATGCTTACATGGATTTGTAAGCAAGACAAGACTGTTAGTATCCTCTTGTCCATCCATCAGCCATGTCAGATTTGACACGCTGAGTTGGGAAGGTATAGAAGGGACAGGACTCAGACCAGCTAAAGCCAGCCTGCCTCTGTGGATGTTTTTCTAGTCTGGAATTGTTTAAATCCACTGGGATTTACACTGAGCCAGGATCAAAACACTGAGTGCCCCAAACCCCCACAGAGTTTTCAAGGTGAAAAAGGACTTTCAATCAGATTCCCAGCTAAAGGAGTGCGTTCCTACCCTGTCCTTAATTGTTAACATTTGAGAGAGTCAATTAAATTGTTTTTGTGATGGAGTAAGGATCTTTCCTCTCCTGCACTTCCAAGGTCATGTTTGGTAGCAAACTCCCATGGAAAGATTGCAAAAAATTCCTTGCTGGAAGATAAGATTAAACAAAAGTCTTCTGGTGAATTAACAGGCAGATCACTAATCAGACTTAACCTCTCTGAGCTAATGCTTGCTGACGGGTGATTGTTTCAATTAATTCAAGGTGACAGAAACTGACAGCCTTTTGAGGGAAAGGCTGCTCTGTCCAAACAGGAGATGTCCTCTAAAGTACCTTTGCAAATAAAGCAGTAAAAAGGAGGTTTAAACAAGAGGAAGGTATCTTGTGTAAGGCACCTTCTTATATCCTCAGTACTCTGCAAAACTCTGCACAGTTTGCTCTGCTCTTCCATCCCCAGATCTTTTGGAGTGTCTCAGCTTTGTACCTGCTCTGCATTTCCACCTGAACACACCTTTTCTCTCCTGGTTAAAGAGGAAACTCTGCCCCGTCCCTACCATGGGTGTCTGAACTCATGAGGGATCAGGCCAACCTGTCTCCTGCTTACAGGTAAAATGTGCTCTCGTTCTGTGCCTTGGAACTGTAACGTGAGATGTGATGGAAAGGAATGGTGATATAATATTGGAAGAATGTTTCTTTTAGCTAGAAGCACTTTTTCCTGGGCTTTGTTTTGTTTTAAGCAGACACAGCCCTGAGTGAAGCCTTTTTAATGTGATGTGGAGCAGTGTGGAGAATTAGTCATTTAGATTGAAAAAAGCAGGATGTAGCTTGGCAGAAAGCAGTGAGGACGGCATGGCTAAAGCTGCAGGATTTACAAGGAGACAGGTGAACTGTCCTGCCGCAGTAACATTTGGCTGGAGGGATTTGCAAGGAAGCAGCATCGCAGTTATCCCTAGCATGCATACAACAGCTACACGGAGTTTGGTGATGCCATTAGGAAGCAGAATAAAAGCGTCTCGTTCTCAATAAGTTAATTACCAGCTGCTGGATAAAAATGCACTTAGCCATGCTGGGCAAGAGACTGTTTACAGAGTAGGTACAAAGCCAGGAGCTGCAAAAAGAAAGGAAGGAGTTGAGAGAGAGAGGAGATGGAGCTGTGTACAGAGACAGGGCCTGGTGTTCGAACCCATGGGACTCGCAGGGGAAGGAGGCGGCGTTCCCTGCCTTCACTCCTGTGCCTGTCCCCTCGAGTCTTTCGGGCCGCGTCCTCCAACACGCCCCTGGCTTCTCCTCCCTCGCAGCCAGACAAATTGGGCCTCGCCGAGCGTCCTCCCCCAGGTGCCCAGGCGCCAGGCCGTCAGCGCGGCGGTGGCGGAGGAGGCCGCAGACAGGGAGGCTGCTGGCGCTGAGTGACAGCGCTGGCCTCCCGCCAGCGGGACAGCAGGCCGGGCCGCGGCGGCGACCCGCGGCCTTTTGCAAACGAGGTGCCCAATTAACCACCCTCCTCCACTCGGAGATGAGTTATTCCTCCTCCTGAAACACAAATGTGTGTCACAGAGGGGCCTTGGGGTGCTGCTCCTGGGGTCTCTCCGTGGTGTTGCTGGAGGACGGTGTTATGGCTCAACAGGGCTCCTGGGGATTTAATAGCAGGCTTCTCTGAGTAAGACTGGGTATCCTAATTAGCCTGTTGATCCCAAGGATGTGCCGTGGCCTGACTGTTTGCCTTCCTGTGATGAGTGACCAACTGATTCTGATCAGTGCTGACAGCCGCAGCGAGTTAGCGACCCATGGGGATGCTGCTTTTAGCCTGGTTTTGCAGCAGACGACATCCACTCCCCCTGCCATTTATTTTACCCTCCCTCCCCCTTTCTTTTTTTTTTAATTGCCAGGCAATTTGCACCAAAAAAAAAAAAAAAAAAAAAAAAAAAAGGTCTGGGCTCTTTGCCTGGCAAAACTATCCATCACAGAAACTGAACTTGAGCTCCAAAGCATTATGCTATATTCTGCACCAAAACTCACTGTGGAGAAGCATCCTGCTCATCCCATCCTTCTCTGAGGCTCAGCTTTTGGTAGCTGCTGGTACAGGCTGTCCTAACCTGCTCTCAGGGCGTTCAACAGAGACACTGGGCTGTGGATAATTGTAGGGGATGCTGGAAAATGAAGTTCCCTATTCTAATGCACCACAGCCCCCAGAAAACAACCTTTTTGGTCAATGATTTTCAAGCTGCTGTGGAGCACCTGTTTTGTGTCAGAGAAGGGTCCTGCTTGTAGTCCTCAGAGAAGCAGGTTCAGGACTGAAAAGGGAGTTTTGTAAGGGTGAAGCCCAAGTACCAGGGATGTGCTTTTGATAGTTCATGCTGCAGCACTCCTGCTGTCCAGGTAGTACTGATCCCATGCAGAATGGGTGCTCTGGGACTTGGTTTTCCTCTGCTGAGGGGGGCAGCTGACTCAGTGATGCGCTTTGGTACTGGAGCAAAGTGATGGAACAGGAGCCTTGCAGCAGAAATTGTTCGAACAGATTAAAAAATAAATTTTTGGATAGTATCCCAAAACTGAGGTTTCCCAAAATACTCCAGAAACTGTGCATTTGTTGGTCAGGTTCATATGTCGGACTTTCATGGTGAGTTCAGAGAATGGAGGACCAGAACTTCATGTGGAGTCACCACAAGCGGAGGAATAGATGTTACTACTCCTGTTTGTGAGAGGGTGGTTTCTTTTTCTTTTTCTCCAAGCACATGTTGGTTTTCTTGCTGTCTCCAGCTTGTGCTCTTTTCTCACTTTGATCTTCAGATCAAAGAGCAGAGGGGCACAGGAGGTGGAGGGGACGGGCAAAGGTGGGGGGCAAGTTGGTCACAGAACATTACATTTCCCAACAAGCAAGGCAGAAAGGGAAAAAAAAAAAAGATAAATGAGAAGTGGAAAGCAAAAATAAAAGCAGAGTGAGAAAAGTCAAGATGTTCTAGAGACAGTTGTACTTGTGTGGCGTGCTTGCCCAGACCAAACCATGGGACCCAACATGGTCACGGGGCTGGTGCTGGCTCCAGTCTGAGTGCAGAGCATCCCAGCCCCATCTGCTCACACCCAGAGCACCATGCAGAGGGGTTTAGGTCCCACACAAGTCTGATGCTGCCCCCAGCACAGGCAGCACCCATCCTGGTGTGAGGCACCAGTCCTGGATGGACACTGAAGGCAAGCTCTGTGTCCCTGCTGGGAAATAACGTGGAGAACAGAGCTGGCCGAAGTGCCAGCTGGTTTACAGTCAGGGATGATGCATGGTAGCTGGAAAATAAAACGTGCTGGGAAAGGCAGCTAAGGCTCCAAAAGAGGCTGTGCCCAGCTGCTTCACGAGGAGGAATTCCCCCTTTGTTTTTCTTACTGGAAGAACATTGCCCTGGAGGAGATGGGAGCTTTACACTGGTGGAGTGGCTTCCACCAGGCTGGAGCTCCCAGCCCACCTCTGCCCCTTCCCTGCCTTTGGGCCTGGCGGTTGGATGGGGAGAGGATGATGTGCTCTCCTGGCTTTAGCAGGTAAGGCTTATTCTCAGGAATGAAGCCTTGGAAGGAGATAAACAGGATCACCTCTCCCTGTTCCAAACCTCTCTTTGATGTGGACCAGCTTTCAGGTGATGGCCCATAGAATCAAAGTGAATAGATGAGCTGTGGGGTTGTGAAATTGAGATTTTTTTAAAAAAAGAATTGCTTAGAAATATTGTTTATTGTTTCATTGTCTCTACTAAAGACGGAGCCTTTCCAACCCTGGCTGTGGGCGCAGAGCCAGGACATATCATGAATTACAATAATAAAAATAATTTTCACTAGGAGGGTTGGCTCCCTTCAGATCGTGCAGCTCCCTCCCTCCCTCTCCTCTCTGGTAAATAGCTTTAATACCCCGCAGGCGCCAAATCACTTGACCTAGGTTAGCCTGTGAACTGGGATGCTTTCTGCTCGGCTGAGTGGGCCGGAGCCGGGATTTTTCCTCCCATTCTCTGGCTGTCAATCCAGGTAATAGTCAAAGCCTTATCTGAAATGCATTAGACTTTCAGCGAATTGTCTGGGCTCCGGGCCCTGGGTGCTGAAGGCACTCGTGCGTGTGATGTGTACGAAGAGGCGAGACGGTAGCTTTTAACACCCCTTGCCTCATCTCTCCTCTTGGCTGGGGTTCAGCAAATCTCCGCAGTCTGCCAGCAAGAGACGTATCCCTCCGGGTTCAAGTATGTAGGCAGTGGTAACTGATCGGCGACGAGACGCTTCTCCGAGGTGCTCGGCACCCAGTTTTGAGGCTATTTTGCCTAATATAGGAAAGTTGTGTTAGAGATGTGGATGGTTTCCACAGAGGAGAGAAAAGCAAGGAAAAAGGAGAGGGCATGAGAAGGGTCTGAGGGGGAGGATTTTGAGAGATGTTTAGGAGTCTGAAGAAGTCTACTTTGGGAATGTTCTCAGCTGGAGAGTGGAAATAAGACTTAATTCAAAATTAAGACCAGAAATCAGACCTTCCATTTCATCTTCCTTCATAAAAGAGACCAAGCTTTACCTTCTTATACCTGTGGGCAGACATGGCTTGAACTCAGGCTGGAGTGGCTGCTCCAGAGAGGCACCTTGTCCTCAGCTGCCTGCCTGGAGGGGTTCTGCTCCCCTGGTAGCTGCTCCCAAAAAGCTTTTAGCTGACTAACATGGAGAGCAAGTATCTCAGCAGATGTTAGATCCTGATGGGTGCATCTCTTTTACTCACTGTTATGACTCTTTCTCTGTGGAGTTAGGGGGGATTCACTTATCAGTAGTCCTATTAGTTTTTATCTGTGTTTTTTTTTTTTTTTTTAAAAAGGTTGATTTGCTTTAAAAAATGTGCTGAACACCTTCAGAACTATTTAAAATATTATTATTATAGTTTTAAAAAGAGTTCAGGGACAGAAGAGAGAAGGCAAAAGTTGCCTCTCCTGTGGTGTTCTTCCACAGCCATACAGGCAGCTGGCCTCCAAGAGCTTTGAGATTTTTTTTGATATTTTGAGTATGGACAGACTGTGGGCTTAGGTATTAAAAAAATATAAATAAATAAAACAGGAAAAAAAAAAAAGAAGGAAAAAAAAGAAACCTATTACCCTGCTTCCCAGCTCCATCTACTAGACAATAAATAACTTATGCTGTATTTTTAAGAGTATAAATTTCAATTTGAAAGCACAATTCTCTTTCCATATGGCACTCAGTGAATCAGTATGTTAACATTTTTTCCTCATAGCTATCTGCATTACCAGGTTTGTGCTCTCCAAGGGGAAGATATGACCAAAATCTCTCTTATTGCTCAGCCTGATGTTGCTGAAACTTCAAACACTTCCATGCCCACTTCGCCGCGGTGATGAACGCTCTCTGCTTTTCAGCCCTTCTGCTTTTTCCAAAGAGAGAAGATGCTGAGCAGCTCCCTGGGCTCCAGCAGCACCATTCAGAGAGAGCTGAAGCAGCAGCAGAGCATGTTTCTCATCCCACTCTTGTACCAAGAGGATGACCCAGCATTCAAGGCTTATTACTTCCATGGCCTCTCTGCTGATGGGAGAGGAAACTGGTTACAAGGGTGGTCTTTTGGCACCGTGTAGAAATCAGTTAATGCTCAATGTACCATTTCCAGATAACCATTGAACAAACATGAATGAATTCAAGAACCTCTCACTCCTCTGTGCTAGAGGGAACAGACATCTCTAATGCTATCGAAGGCTTTGTGAGGCAAGGTCTGTCATTTTCTACATTTTTGCACAATGTCTAGCAAAATAGGCTGACTATAATGCAAATAATGCTGTTATTAGTGGGTCAGCCTTGACGACTAGGAAGCCATGATTCACAGATGTGTAACAATTGTAGTTGGCAAAAGGGAATGAAATGGGGTAAAAGGAAAACACATCAGAATGTCAATGCGGCAGGATCGGGGCCAGTTCAATATATGTGGTTTGGGCAGCAAATTCCTAATTTGCAATGGCATACAGAGGAACTTTATAGGAATTTAGAGGTTTGTCACTTGAATCCCATTTCAGCCTTCTGGAAAATGCTGTAAAGAAGCTGTCAACATTGTTTGTGCCTTTTTCTCACCATGTTAAAACAAAACCTACAGGAACACAGAGGATCAAGATGAGCTGACTGCTTCCCTGCACCATCCTCCTCTCAGCCAGAACCTGTGGAGGTCTTACAGAAAATCTGCTATGAGAGCAGCATGAAGATGCTTCTGCTGGTATTCCACAGGTACAAACACCTCTCTGCGTGGAGAGCTAGAGCTTTTGGTCCTGCTGTCAAAACTGACCTGGTATATATATTTTTTGTATTAGTAATTAGGCACTTAGCTGCAAGGAGCAATGTTTTAACAGATCCAGAAGCCTGTCTGGGGGACAGTTATCCTGCAGTCATTTTTCTGTCATGGTTTAAGAACTGGAAAATGTGATAAATTCTGCTCGAATTGCAAGGGGATTATTTGTCTAATGTTAACACATTTGACCCTCTCAAATTGGCAAAGGATAGAAGACATCCCAGTTAACCAAGATGGTACAAGCTGGATTAGTTCTCTTCTAGAGAACTTTGTGTAAAGGGATGGGAATTGCAGTGTGAGCCTGAAATAAATGTAGCTCTTAGCCTGAACAAGGCTGGAAAGGCACGCCACTGGGAGGACTTGTATGGTGCTGCAGTTTTTGAGTGGTGGAATAGTTCAGTAGCGGATGCCATGGGGCTGAGGACGAGAGCCAGCTTGCCTTTCCCACTTCCCCTTCCTCTGTTTTGTTTTGTTTTTCCTTTCAGATTCTAATGATCCTCATCAGAGCTTATTAACCACTTAACCGTAATCCTGTTGGAATGTCTCTGCCTCCAGAGCTACTCTTCTTACCAGCTATGAGATCTGAGACAAATCACTCATTTATTCACGGGCTTTAGGTATCCAGTGATAGGAACTGCAGTGAGAAAGCTGCAGGGAGCTGTGACACTTCTGGGGCATGCCCAAGCCAGCAAGGGAAGCTGGAGGCATGGGGTGTTGGTGAGCAGGATATGACAACAGGCATGGTCAGTGCTGCCTACAGTGGGATTTGCATGGGTGAGTCTTTTAATTTAGGTCTTTTGCAGAAAGGGTCCTCAGGAGGGGAAACAGAGGGACTCTACATTGTGATGGGAGAATCCACATCCTTGACAGGAACTGGAGATTCTTTCCAGGGAATCTTTCTTTCCCATCATCTGTTCTTCTTAGCTATTTGCTTTCACTCATTGCCCAGCCTCAGAAGGACAAAGCAAGTGATCAAAAGGAGCTGGAGCATCTGAGCAGGGAGGCTGTATTGCTGTCCCACCACTGGGAGGACACAGTCGTGTCGCACTCTTGCAGCTGGCCAAAACTAAGGGAGGTAGAGCACTGCCTGTGTGAGTTTTGCAGCAGGTTTATTTACTCTGTTTTCACACTTACCTTGGCAGTGGTGAGGTGAGCTGAGGGAAGTGTGGGGAGAATAATGCTTTAGCACATAACGAACATGTTTTCCTCCAGGTTTGACCCTTGCTCCCACCATCAAATACTCCATCGTCCTCCTGAAAAGAGTAGATGAACTGTCTGCAGGCACTGAATAAGCAGGGGAGGTTGGTTCTGACATTTGTAAGGAGAAACCGTTGTGGTAATGTTGCTTGGAAAGCTGCTGTGCGAGGCTGGCCAGCAAAAGAACCTTTAGGGTTGGAGAAGGAGGGAGAAAACAGGAAAAGTCGGAGTTTCACAATGTCTGTGCTGAAAGAAACAAGAGGCCAGGTCAGCAAGTCCAAGGCCTTGACTGGAAATCCAGAAGCAGGGCTAATTTATGGTTTGCTAGGTAATCTTTATGGAATTCCAGGAGTGAGAAGCCATTCACTGACCCGTTCCGAGACTGCTTCTTGTCCCTGGGCTTGGCCAGGAAGGAAGTCGGAGCCCTTGCGCTCACAGTGATCTTGCCCGGGGGCCAGGGCTGCGATCCAGGCCACAACCACATCCTGGCCTCCCAGCCTGGGCAATCACCATCATGTGCTCACCCCACAGCTCGCCGGCAGTGGGTGCAGCCTCACCTCAGCAGGGCACCAGTAAAGGATGCGCGGTGGGATGCTGAGGGTGCTGGTTTGGACATCCTAGAGCCCCTGGGGTGCTGGCAGAGATGCCCACCAGAAGCTCATTGAAGCCTCACTGGTGTGATGCCTGGCTAGACCCAGTGCTGTTCATCCCAGCTCTGCATTGTTTGAATCCATAACAATGTGGAAGCTTGTCCTTTTAGGCTTTTCCAGGCATAACCTGGGTTTGCAATCCCTTCTGTCAGGCTGAAATACGTGTTGTTGCTCTGTAGGATACAATCTTGATTAGGTCGTAAGGAATCTTTTTAAGACTTTGTCTTGGCTCTCCTTAAATCTCTTAGGATGTCTTCCCTGCTCCTTTATCCTTTGCCCTGCTCGTTTGAGCAAGTGCATGCGGTCATGCTACGTAATCCAACCTCAGATTAGTGTTCCATGGAGGTAGATGTGCTACAAATAAAATAAGAAATTTTCACAGCTCCTCTATAGTCAATGCCAGCCTGATTCTTTATTATTATGTCCTACAGCAGAGCCATGTGCTTGGGGCACTGACTACTGGGGTGCAAATTCAGGTTCTGCCCTTACTAGGCTGAAACAATCTTCTGACTTCTGTGTATACTGTATTTTTTTGGGTGTTTTTAGAAGAATTCCACACATTGTCAGTAGAAGGAGAGTGTGCAAGAAAACTTGACACATGTAGTACAAATGGATGGAGTCCCCGAATGGGAAGGAGGGTGACAACTCTGGGGAACAACCAGGAAGGAAAATCAAGTGACTCTTCAAGTGATCAGAATTGTGACAAACCTGTGAATTATGTCAGTATTTGTTACCAGGCTTACTGAAGGCAAGTCTCTTGACTTCCCATGCTGGATTTGGTTTTAGCAGGGCTTTAGACAAGATGCTTGCCTTCTACACTCCCTTGTTTAACTGCTGGTAAAATAAGGAGAGATAAAAAGGGTTTCATTTATTCTGTAGAGATGAGACCCTGAAGATAAACTGGTGCAAATCTTCACTGTCCTCAGAGGGCTGAAACAAAAGAAAAACCTCCTTCACATGGTGAGCTCTGTTCACAGCCCCTTCTTTCTTTGGAAGCCTGCTGCTGCCCCTTGCTGCAAGACAGAGAGAGACCTTAAAGGCATGGGTGAGAGCACAGCTCTTGCTCAGACTGCAAATCTTCCAAAGGATTAGGGTTTTACTTCAAATAGAGGAATGTAAATGTGTCTGGCTCCATAGCGGCTGGAAATTTCTCGCTGGAGCCAATGTTGGGCCATACTTGGCGGTGACAAGACGTTTGTTTGCCCACCCTGGTTGGACTACAGCTCTCGGGCTGGAAAATGTTAAAATGGGCTGTGCGTGCTTTCGGTGTCATAAAGCAGAGCCGGGTGGGGGAGGGCTAAGGGGAGGAACTGGATATAGGTGATTATTCTGCAGCACTCACAGTTGTGTGTGCTAGGGATGGCAAGCTGGGGGAAGAAGCTGGGTTCGTTTAGTCTGACTGCAAGGCTGGGAGCTTGAGCTCATCTATTTTTTTTTTCCCCTTTATTTTTTTTTTTTTCCTTCTAGTTATCACTGTTTCCTGGCATTTTGTCTGCTTGTAGATTCATGAAGGTATTTGGGGGTCTAAATCTGGGGATTTGGCATTTAGATGCCTTTGTGCTTTCAAGCTCTTTACAAATGGAGAAAGGTATCCTGCAAGTGAGCAAGCAGAAAGAGAAATGTCAGCAAAAAAAAAAAAAAAAAAAAAAAAAACAAAAACAAACAAACAAACAAAAAAAAAACAAAAAAAAAAACAGCAAATTGGCCTGCATTTAACAGAGGTCAGCAGCATCATGCACCAGCACCCCTGTGTATGCTGCTAGTGGAGCCTAGGGAAAGATGTGAGCACCCATCACTGTGCTGCATGCATAAGGAATTTGACAGACCTGGGTGCCTGCTCACATGTATGGGGTAGCTGGTAGCAGCACCGTGTTAGCACAGTGCTCTTGTGTAGGGCAGCAGCACAAAAGGCTTTGAATATCTCCTAGGTCACCACGCAGGAGGCCATGCCTGCCAAGGAGGATCTGAATCCTCTGAACGTCCTCTGGTGTCCCCATGGGGTGTGTTTTGCTGCTGTGCATTGGGGTCAGAAGATCGCAGATCCATATGGGGTCGGCAGCTGCCTACCTCTGTGCTACCTGCAGTACAAATCTCCAATAAAGACAGCCCCTCTCTGCAGGACAGGAGGGCAGAAATGTGCAGCATACTTGGATTTCTTCTCTTGATCTCAGTAATAGTCTGAAACCGGCTTTTGCCAAGCTCTGTTCTGAAATCTAATGTCTATATCAAAGTTCATAGAATCATAGAATATCCTGAGTTGGAAGGGACCCTTAAGGATCATCAAGTTATGGAAGTTGTGAAACAAGCAGGGCTTCTCTTCAGAGCAGCACAATTTTAAATGTGCGTGAGACAAACAGGCCTGAAATTAATGCTTAGGGAAAGTAATAGTGGGGCAAATGTAGCCAGATTTCAAGTATAGAATGTCTCATGTTTTAAAGACTAACAAAAAATTGACAGGAGTCTGTTCAGTGATAGGGCCCAGCCTTCCCTCCTGCCCTGCTCTTCGGGCAGGAGATGGGCATCACAGCACACGGGACCAGGGACTGAAAGGTGCAGGTTCAACCTGAGTGCCTCGCTGACTTCAGGCATGCTGCCTTTTTTTTTCCTTCTGTGATTCTTTTGAATACAATGGGAAGAATAACAGTGCCTTCTTCAGGCTATGACTCATTTTTTTGTGTAGATGAAATGCTTTGATCTCCATGAAGGACTAGCTGCTCGTGGTAGGTGATGGGAAGCCTAAGAGGGCCAAGAGATATTTGGCTTTGATCAGCAGAGTTTTTCTGCGTTATCCCATTTTGGACAGTGTTCCCTTGGAGCTAGACATCCTTAACTCATTTGGAAATAAGATGTTATGTGTCCCCATGGCTTCCAGGTTCAAGTCATCAGTGGTAATTTAGAGCTCTGAGAGCTTTTGTGTTTGATCGTCCCCTCTACAATGAGCAATGGGAGATACAAGTTACTGCTCTAGTCCTTAACAAGGGGAAAATGTAATGGATAAACTTACCAGAAATACATGTATGCAGCTGATAAAGTGATCATGCAAAAATGCCAGGCTGCGTGAGACAAATGTACTGAACTTGGGGATAGATGGATCCAAGGTGCTGTAGGAAAGCACGGGGAAATGGTTGGCTAAGGGCTTGAATCAGGGGTGGATCTGTGGTCATTATCCGTAATAAGTCCTTCATCTTTAATGGGACTTGAAGCAGATCTTCTGAAGAAGATTTTCTGAAGCCAGTGCTCAGTAGGACTGTAGATGTTGGTGGGCTGCTGGCTGGCTTTTTCCCTTTACCTCCATAAAGCAGTGTGAAGACGTGGAATGATATTCCAAAAACTGAGATCTGTATTTCACACTGACAAGTGTTCATCTCAGTGAATTTATGATTTCAAGGGGCTACAAAAACAGTATCAGGTTGTCTTGAAAATGCCTTACTGCTCCTTCCCATCCAGGAGACAGAGATGAGGCACATTTGGCCAAAGTGAAAGAAAACAAGAAGGTAAGGGTGTAGTCACTGTCAAACAGGGAAAGGACCTGGTAGAGCTGGACAGTGGGTGGAGGAGGTACAGGGAACAGCGTTGTCTGTAACAGGGCAAGCTGAATGAGAAGTGTTTTGGCAGGGTGTGACATTGTCCTTTCTCCTCCGGGCTGGAGTGGCTGTAAAAGAGGCTCAGTCCTCATTTCATCAGTCACCTTGGTCACCTTCGTCCTAAACCAGTTTTTTACACGTCCCTGCCCGGCCTGACCCAGCAAGAAGTGGGGTAGAACTGCATGCATGAGATATTTATTTAGAAATAAATCAAGAAAACCTTATCCCAAGCTGTATCTCCTTTCCATTTTCTGAGAGCTTTGGGGTGAAGCTCTTATTTGCCCCGTTGTCTTTCCAGCAGAACTCTTCCCCTAGCTCATAGCAAACACCAAAGCATCTTTTTCTCCTGACCCTTACTGTCCTTTCCAAAGAAATATGTTCAGTCAGGGGTTTTGACAGGCTCAGTGCTTTAGCCCTCAACGGCAGTTTGTATTTACATAAGTGGAACACTAATATTTACTTAAGATTATGCTGTATTTTTCACGACTGAAGGGAAGATTATGCTGCGTGCTTTTTATATTTTGGAGGTGGGGAAGTAGAATGGTCCCATGGCTTGCCTAGAGGACCAGAGACTTGTTCTGCTTTGCATTAAGTATGAAAATTAGAGCAGATGGGTGACTGGGACCAGAAACAACGTTGTCCAAAAGCAGTGGAAAACCATGTTGTTGTGATTTCTCAGGAGAAGCAGCACAAATCAGCTAAACAAAGTTGTATACAGCCAGAGAGAACCTGTGCCTAGCCTGCTGCTTCCTGCATCAGGCACTGCAGCTTACTGAGGTTTGCTTTCTTTGTGCAAAACATCACCAGCCAAATCCAGCTCTGGTGACAGTCCCCTGGTGTGGGGATCAGATGCAGCTGTATCCTTGCTGACCCTGAGGATGGGAAATAACTCCGCCGACTTCAGCCAGTGCTGATTTATACCAAATGAATATCTGATTACATAGTAAGGAATACAAATATCTTAATATTTATATTCTGTCAGTATCTGAGAGTTTATGTTCACTAACAATATATTCGTTAACTACTGATATATAATTGTAATATAGCAACAGCAAGAAAAAGAGCTGGACAAATATTAGAACAGAAAGGACCTGCAACTCAGACCCAAATATCTTTAACCCAAACATCACCAATACATGCAACGTTTTGAATAAATTGGTAGCAAGCATTCCTTTCCAAAGTTAAACTCTGTTTTGAAATCTACTCAGGATCACTTTAATATTTATATAATCTGAGACGAAATTCCCACGTACTGAAAGACACAGAAATAATTCTGTTCCAGGCAATCTGATGGTGAGCCTGCAGCTCTGCCCTCAGCATTTCTGTTGCACAGGTGACAGCCACCTAGGCATGGTCCTGCTTGAGCTGCACCTGTGCCTCTCCTGCAGAGGTTAAGGCTCTCTTTTAAGACTGAAATATAGGGGAAACTGCTGTGAAATGGGTTGGAGTTTGGCACCTTGAATCTCTCAGCATCTGGGCCTTGGTTCTTCACCTCAAACCATCCTGAGCATGGGCCGTATGTCACTTGCTGGCACAGGACGAGGCTGTTGCAAGAGGCCTGTCCATGTGTGCTAAGGGAACCAAAACAATATGCTGCTTCCAATCTGTCCTAAATCATGAGCACTTTTAATTGTTCCCCCCATCCGGCAGGCAGAGCTGGCACCAGCACAGACAATGCTCTGCAGGTCTCACCAGCTGGCGGGCTGGACCTTCCAGATTTAGCCTTGGCATCAGCGAGTTTAACTGCAGGCACCAGGAAATCTGCTGGCAGCAAGAGGAGAGGGAGGCTGGGCGGCTGTCCCCTCAGGAGAGAGGCCCCGGTGTCGTTCCATGTGCAGGATTTTCCTTGCCCACACAAATGCACTAATGGCATTACCACCAGGTATTTAAGCAACGTGTGAAAAGGGTTGGGAAGAGGCTAGGGATGGGAAAGCCCAGGCTGCTGTGTTTCTCTGGAGACCACACACGTGCTGTATTTATGAAGCAAAGAAACAAAAACGAAGTTGTCTCCCTTAAAAAAAAAAAAAAAATAATAATAATACCTGACTAACAGAACTGTGTGGTCTGGCAGTGGCTCCCTATCCTTTGCTTAAGTTACTAGAGAAACAAACACAACCTTCTTTAATTTTTATCACTTTGCTCATATTTCTCTCCTGTTTAAGCCTTTCAGAGAAATCCTGGGAGTAAGCTTTCTAAAGAAGCAGTGCCTTGTGACTAGCGGTTGCAGGAGTCCAGGTTTGAGAAGGGCTGACCATGGAGATCATACGACCAGACGTCCTGAGTTGTTTCTTCTGAGAGTGGATTGAATTCTTCCAGCTTGTCTCACACCTCCCCAGGGCATCAGTTTGCAGCATGGTTATGGGTGCTCCTTGCTGCATTTAGCTAACTTCCCCCTGGCAATCTCCAACAGAAAAAAAAACGTGGTTTTAAAAGGCCAGCACACAGAGCAGTAAGGTACTCACCAGCCTTTATAAATTTGTGGGACAAATGAAAAAGTGGCTCCTCTACCTCGTTCCAGCAGCCCTGATGCTTCAGCAGTTTGGGTGCATCTGAAGCTGAGGAAAGAAAAGTCCCAGGTTTGTGGTGGTTTTGGTCCTGCTTCCCCATGGGCCAGCCTCCAGGTCACCTACACTGGCTTTTCATCTGGGGAAAGCAGGTATCCTTCCCTGCTGCTCTTCAATTTTAATTGTAATTATGTTAGGATCTTCAAAGGAGTCCTTTAGGACAGACCTGGCTTATACTTCTAGTAAGGGACAGTTTCTTCCTTCCCTGTATGGGGAGAGAAACCAATAGGTTAATGCCACGTCCAGCATCGTTCAGGTGCTGGGTGACAACAGCAGGTTTTGTCTTCGCTGAACTTTGCATCGATCTCTGCTCCATCACTTAATTAGCCCCATCCAGAATACATTAAGCAAACAGCGTCTGTCTGCCTGCCCACCCGTTTGGCACGTTCCCATCCGAGTAGTGGTAAGCCCCAAAATATTGGGCGCCGGCCAACAGAGCCCTAGCAATCCCCACTTGGCAACCTTATTAACGAGTGCTCCTTCCAGCAGCTCGAGCTTTGTTGTTGCTCCTGCTTTTCCTTTGGGTTTGTTTCGGCAGACAGGGTGCATCTTTGCAAATGAGGTGGGTGATCTCCCCAGCTTCACCCTGTGGGGTGAAAGCCAGACTTAAGGCCACCTTAAAGTGCCTGGTACACCTCCTGCCAAGCTTTTTCTCGGTGCTCAGGCAGTAGCAAAACAGTTTCCCCAGCTCCCAGCACGGCATCGGATACTGGGAGGATTCATCCCTGGGCTCTGTCAAAGCTCCAGAGGGACAATCATTAACATATATACGTTTTTTTATTGGCCTTGGTCAGCTTTTGCGAGGGTGGTTTTAATTAGCTCTGCTCAGCTATTAAGCACCTGTCCAAAGCCTGTCTGGCTGCAGAAAAGCAAGTTAAATAATTTGGGAAGGTCTGCGCAGTGCCAGCCAACTCTCTGCTCACAAAATGAGCTGCTTGGGCCAGCACTGGCACTTCTATAAAGGAAAGCTGGTCCCTTTGAGGCCCGGGTCTATCTGCTTTTATCACTCTGCAGACTCTTGGGTCCAGCTCCTTGGAATTCGCTTACAGCTGTTTGATGCTTCCCCAAACAACTGACTGGAGCTCAGGAGAAGGGCAGCTCTTTTCTCAGAACATCTGCAGACAAACAACTGCGGCTACACGGGGAAGGCTAAGCACGTTTACAGCTTGGGTTTTCAAGAAGCTCCCCCAAATCTGGAGGCTTTTCTGATCTGAGTTGTATGTGTCTGCAAAAATAAACTAGAAAGCTTGTGAAAGCGAGGAGGCTTCCTGCAATATATCCAGTATTCCTCCTTCCATTCCGTCTGTAAAATACCTCGGGAAGAACATTTCCAGAGCTCCGAATCTGTATGTGCAATGGCGTGAGAGAGGAGCAGTGGTGGTTGTAACCTTGGTACTTTGAACTGCTTCCTTTTTTCCTTTTCCTGCCTTTTATCCTTCCCTCTCCCTCTTCCATCATGGGAAAAGAGGACTGTGCTCTCAGGTCCCTCCCTGTGGCAGAATCAGACTTGTAGCCAGTTCCAGATTCTTCAGAAGCCCTTTGAATTTCGTGATTTGATACCTGTGAGAACTTCCTAGCTTTATCAGTTTAAAATATTTCTGCATGGGTTTCAATTTGTGCTGTTTGCATTGAGGGAAGCTTTAATACTAAAAATAAAATGAAGAAAGGCTTGACTGCTTAGGGCATTTTCCATGGAGATATGGGCTCAAGCTCTCCTTAAGCAGAGGGAATTTGGCTTGGGGATGGTTTCCAAGCTGCTGCAAATTTGCTAGCCCTTTCTTTCCGTCCTGTTAAAAACCACCCTTAGTTGTACCCTAATGTACAATAATGCACGGAGACGTTAAGAAGAATTTTAAACCCTCTGTAGCTGGCTATACGAGTAAAGAGGTGGTTAATTATTTACCTGTCCTCAGGAAGAGCAGCCCTCTCACAGGAAGGCAATGCTCCCAAATTTTGGCTGTTGGTAACACACTTGGAGCTCCAAGTCAAGTGGTTTTTGAGCAAGAGGAGGTCTCAGTACATCACAAATAGATGCTCCACTTAATCTTTCTGTCTCCTGACAGGATGTGGGCAGCACATCAGCAGGAGGCACTGCTTTATGACTGCGCTTGCTGCAGGCAATTCCAGCGAGGTATGGCAGATATTTATCTGTAGGTGGTAATATGGTTTCTTTATGATTCGGAGGGACTGATGTCTTGGGTTTTGCTTTTATTTTTGAACTTGCTGATATTTGAAAGGAATTGTCCATTTATGCATGCTTCATAAAGCTGATAGCATTTAGGAAAAAATTAATGAATATTTCCAGAGTATTTTACTTTGTTTTCTTTAAGAAAAAAAATATAGAGCTAAAAACAAGAGTGAAAAACTCTTCCTTTGGAGTCTCTGTAGCTCAAATACATCAATATTTTGCTTGTGTATAAAAGATGCATACCTCTGTTTTTGTTGTTGTCTCTATAGACACCACAAAAAATGTGACTGCAGAGGACCTCCAGAGGTCGGTCAGTCCATCCTGCTGTTCTCAGCCCTGCTGAGATGAAGGGATGTGTTGTTTCACTACAGGGCTGAAGAACCCTGGAGCATACCTCTAACTCTGAGACTTTTGCAAAGTGGGTAGCCACATTAACGCATGAGCTATGCCTGCTGCTGCATTATTAAAGGCACGAGCAGCACTACCATTGTGCATTTGCCTGCAAGAAGTCATGCGGGCATCCTGAGCCATTCATTAGCAATCTGATTAACATGGATAGCTTCTTGTTCAGTCCTTTTCTCACCTTCCTGTGGCGCTTGTCAGAGGCAGAGTTGGAAATGGAGCTTAGTATACTTTAGACCCACCCTCTTGCGCTTTCGAGGATAAATTCTCTTGCTTATCTTGCACTGCAATTCCTTGTGTCTGTTGAGTCAGACACAAACACTGAGCTGAAAAGTTTGCTTGGGATGTCAGGCACCACTGGGGTGACAGAAGAAGAGAGAAAGTGAGATGATTCTTTGGAGACTGCCTGGGGCCAGCAGCAATTCCCAGTGAAACGAGATTAAGAGCGCACAGAGACAGTGTCATGTTTGGCCCATGGCTCTTGATTCCTCGAGTGCTGAAGTCAAACTGCCAGAAATCTGATAGTCTGGAATGTGCAGTAAAATAAATATTTCCTCATAGGTATTTCTTTTGTCTGGGGGTTACTAGGCAGGTTGACAGGCCTGCAACCAGCTCCCTGCTTTGGGTGTGCTCAGGCTCTGATTGCCCCTCTTCTGAAATGGATTTTGTGGCTTAGCTCCTGGAGTCTGGTCTCAATCCTTGCCTAGCCAGAAAGGTTGAGAGTGATGGAATTTGTGCTGGTCAGGGCAGAGTGCAGACCATGGTCTGTGATATACAGGGTCATTGCAGAGTCACAAAGAGGTTGGAAGGGTCTCCAGAGGTTTTTGGTCCAGCCAAACACACAGGGCCAACTTCTGCTTTACACAAAAAGCAGCTCACCAACCTATAAAAGTAATAGATAGGGAGATTTTCACAATTTTGATTCAAAAGCAATTTGTTGCAGCCTTTAGCTCCTGTTTGGTGGGAAGACCATGTCACTTAGTGTAATAGACACAAGTGCTGCAAAGGCAAACCTGCAGGCTACAGTGTTTAAGTCCATTACTGAGCAATTCTTTGGGACATGTTTCTGTTCTGGTAGCGTGAATTAACTGATGTGAAACTGATGGTTTAATTTATGGCTTCTGGTTGTGGATTCTGTGGGCAGTACCATCCTTAACTGAACTTTAAGGTTAATTTCCACTCATCTCCCTCTCTTTTGATATTACCAAATGACCACATAAGACCTTTCTGCTTTTGTTCTGCTGGATGCTCTAACCGCTTTGTAGTCATTCCTGATTGCATGTTGAATATATACAGCCTTCTGCTTCAGGAACAGGCTGTCACTCAGGCTGAAGGACTGTCAAATTTAGCTAGCAGCATTTGAGGGCTTATGGATCCTGATGGGCAGTTCCAATCCTTTCCAGCCCATGCAGTGACATGTGCACAGTCAATTTAGTGTTCAGTCCGAGTTCCTCTATTCACATTCCCAGCAGTAAATGAAATGCATGTTCTCTGTTGATGGCCTTGATTGGGATTTCTTCAAGGAAACGGATTTGTTGGAATATGAGGTTTTCAGATCTGTGAGAAGAGAGCCACTCACAAGCTCTGTAGTGTTTTTGGAAAGGATCCACTTGGCACTGTCCTCCAAGTGTTGGAATGAGCGTGTCACAGCTTTCATTTTCCAGAAATATTTCATGATTGGCAAAGGAGACTGACTGGTGGATCTTGCTAAACAAATCTGGGGATGAAATCCCACACATCTTGAAGGTTTGGGCATTGGAAAAGGAGGGCCCTGCACCAAGATGCCCTGACCAAGCAGTCACACGGAAAAGTTGCACTTTGAATTTAGTTGAATTTTCAGAGGTGTTTTTTTTTTCCTCACTGTTTTTCATAATCAATGCTCTGAACTCTGTGATATTTGTGAATGTTAGCAAGTGCTTAATTCTGAAGAGCACAAATTCCAGAAGTAAGTTGGTTTATAAAACAAAGAGGCCATCTCTGCTTGGAAGCCTTTGATTTGGTTTATATTCAAAGATCCAAAGTATAGAAAAATGTCCTGCATTCCTAGAGCTCTGTTCACAACAAAGAAATGCTCAATGTGAGGAGAACATTTATCTTTGTGATGTAGTATCTGAAATCCCTGCCCATAGCTGAGAATTGACCCTTTGCTTAGGTCCAGCTATGTGCCCAGGTGTGTTTTTGGCTCAGGACTCCTCATCTTGCAGGATGGAGCCTTAAAGGAAGGTAAAGAAGAGTTAATTGTCTGGGGAATTTCATTGATGTATGCGTAATTAATGCAAATGAAGGGAAAAATAAAACATTTTGTGTCTGTAGCAGAGCCCAGTGGATCCAAAGCAGATCCTGTTGTTCTGGGTGCTTCTCAGACATCTCCACACTGGGTCTTGATGGAAAGGACTTGTGACATGGGGCAGATGCAATTCTGATGGCAGTCTCTGTCCTGTTACGTGGGACAGGGGTTATATTTTTCCTTGGTTATACTATGCTGGAGCTGTGACCTGCCACAAGGAGGACCACTATTTAAATAGTGTTTTGTATTTGTCCCAGCTCTTGGTCTAAATGTCGGGGTAATTTTCAAGCCATTCCTGCTTCTTTTGGGAACTGAATTTGGAGCTGGAAGAGGTCTCAGATTGCCAACATGAGATGAGAGCAGACAAACCTGCTGCACCACAGGCTGGCTGGTTTTGAATGTGGGGATGCAGCACCAGCCACAGCACCAAAGAGCACAGAAAGGAAACCATCCTTCCATCCTGGTAAAAGCTTGCTGGAGGAGGCACTGTGCTTGGGGCTTAGCATTTCAGTCTAGGAGCATATCAGACCTGGGTTCTACCCTTCTACTCTTTTTAAGTGATCAAGTCACATAGTTTCCTTGTACGTGGTTTTCTGATTTCTGAGATATGAATAACCCTCACTTCATAATGTGCTTTGAGATCCTAGGGAAAAATAATACTGTAGGAGTGTCTGCAGTTCTTTCAAAGTAAGGATGGAGTATAGCTAATCAACTGCTAGAGGGGATAACTCTTGCCACCATTCTTCTGGTAGTAATTTCCAGCTTTCATGAACTCAACCCAAGTTGGATTTAGGGCTAACAGAGCTAGGGCTGGAGTCAAACCAGGTCAGAGCCAAAGCTACAAGCCAGCAAATGCTATTTTGGAAGCTTGTGTGCTGAAGTGTGCTTGTGCCTCTGCCCATGATTTTGCATGCTGCTTGTGTGGTTCTGTGGTGGCCTGAGTTATGACTTCAGAAAGGACAGAGAATAAGTAGCTGAGAATGAATAGTGTTATTTTTCCACAGCTCATTAAATCTCTAATAAGTGACTTGCTGTGTTGCTTTTGGGAGGATGTTCTGTGGTTGCTGAGGAAAAGATGGCTAATGTGTTTATTTGTATGTTGCAGTTTGGAAAATTGCTTAAGTTGTATTTCTTTCTGTTTCAGTCAGGGCCTCGGTTGGAGCTGACTGTACAGAGCTTGCCAAAGCTGCTGAAAGGGGAAGCAGGCAGCAGGGGAAAAGGGCTTTCCCCCTCTGTTATCTCAAGTACAATCCCCACGTCGCCTTGCACCGCATTGCTCATACTTCACCCAAGAGTGCCTCATCCTTGTCTTCTGGCAGGGGAGGTGGGAGAGAAACGACCTGGTTGTGCTAAAGCCAGCCTCCCTGACGTGTGTTTTCTGGCAGAACTGTTTGAATCCCTTTCTGATAGGATTGCTGCCTTCGTGCTGGTGAGAGAGGAGTCCTGTCACGGGGCAGTCACTGCACGGGTATTGTTGGACTCAGTGATCATGGGTGGACTTGGTCTTGAAAGTCTCCAACCTGAATGAGTCATGGTCACAGAATGGAAAAGCACTCGGAATGCTGTCAGGATTGCTGTTTTGTGCTGAAGTTAACAGGGAGGTGTGTTATTCCTGCTTCTTGTGCATATCCAGATAGCATCAGTAAAGCTGGGTCTAATCCCTACACAGGCTACAGGAAAACTGTTGCTCAGGACACCATGGGTAACCTTGGTAGGTTCTGGAGAGTGCCAACACTTAAATTGTCACCTGCCCTGGGAATACCATGCCCAGACTGCTTGCACTTTCAGGAGTACAGGGGGAGTTCCTGGAAAATTTGGAAGAGGAACCCTTGCCAGGTTACTCTGGTGTGGGGCCAGCAGGTCTGCTGCCCATCTGGCTGCCCCGGGGCTGCTGGAGGAAAAATGGGGTCTCTCTACGGAAGGTGCTGTGGTGGCACGGCAGCTACTGCCCTTGTCAGCTGGATTTTGTTTCCATGCCACCTCCTGTGGTGGGTGGAAGCCCTGAGCAGCAGAGTTCATCGCCTTGCTGTCTGCTCTGGATGACTAATGTTTACTCGCCTGCCTTTAATCCCCGGTGTCTTTCTGTGAGTTTGGGCCAACAGCAGGGCAGGAGCAGGAGCTACAGAGAGGCTGGAGAGCACCGAGACACAGAACACAATGCAAGACTCTCAGTAAAAAGCCCTGGCTTGTTTGCTCTAATCAAAGTCAATGGATTAGATTTAGAAGACATTATTGTGGTGTTTTCCAATCCACAGCAGCTCAGTGGGCTGCTAGCTCTAAAAGTGGGTCTCTGCAGTTGAGAATAAACTGGCTGAGAGGAAGTCCTATACGTGCTATGTCCAGATCATGCCACAAAGACTAGTAGCACAGAGACTACACTACTAGGCCATGCTTGCAACCACTGCAAAGCTGGATTTTTCCAGGAGTAAGCCAGATGTCTGTCAAGGATTACTTTAACTGTTGCTGCTGCATTGCATCCTCTTGTAAATGCATTTTTTATCAGAGACAGCATCTTTCACTGGAAGCAACAACAGCCCAGGACTTTACTGAAGGCGAACTTCAACTCTAGCAGGGGATGGTGCTGAAATGGAGCAGCTGTGCCCAGTGGTGGCACTGCTGTGGCTGTGCTGCTGAGGGGCCTGGGGTCTGCCAGGCCAGCTGTCATTGTGCCAGGAGCCCCACACAGAGCATAAAACTGGTTGTTTATTCATTTCTCCAGCGTGTGTTTGGGTAAACGACACAGTTTGTGTGCCTGAAACACCCATAGCCAGATGTGCTGCTTCCCCCCAGCCCTTGTGGGGATTTGGGATGCTAGGAGAGCCGTCCCAGCCAGCTGAGCCAAGCTGGAGGCAGCAGATAAGGGAATCCAGCAACTTGTCTCGGGAGGTGAGCAAGTTGCTGAGGTCTTATTATGAAGGAGCTTTACACAGGTTGTTTGGTAGAAGAAACCAAGACCACGTCTTCCTTCCCAGGACAATCCCAGAGATACAAAGCTGCTTTGCGTATCCTCACAGCCTTCACTTTTGCTCTCTCCTTACCTCTCCTGGCTCCACGCACCCCGACATGGGTGGCATACCCAGTCCAAGAAGACTACGCTTTCCTGTTAGATTATTCTTGGCAGTCTGTAGGTTCTTTATAACTGGTTCTCTGAGAGAGCTGAGAAAGATCAACACGCACTATGTCATTTTGTCTGTGAGGCAGGAGGCAATGGGGGGACAGCCAGGCAAAGGGGGAGAGCAGCAGACCTATGGAAACTGAGGTCTCGTGTCAGTCTGTCTTAGGGGGCATGTCAGCCAGAGAATTAAGGCTTAGAACAATACAGCAAAGTGTGGGGCTGCTGGAGTCACTGGGGTTGTGCTACTTCACGGCTAATCTCAGCTAATGCCATTTTTGAGGAAGGTAGAAGATGAAGCAAGAGCTGTGGACTCTAAGGCTTGCACAGGAACAAATACAATGTGTTTGTGCTGCAGGAATGGGGCTGCAGGTCATGCTGCACTGCCCCTAAAACCGTGTAGGTAAGGCACTAATGCCAGTGTAGAGGTTAAATCCTGCAGCTAATCCCTTCAGCACACTCCCTAATTTTACATAGTAGGAGAGAAAGCCAGCCCAGTCCTTTTTCCAGCAGCATCCATGGCATATAAAAGCACAGTTCTTTTCCCCTGCCCAGGTATTATCCAAGTCACGCCCTTGCCCAGTGAAATTTGAGAGTTCTAAGTATGCAAAGCAGATCCACAGCACACACACTTCTGCTAGGAAAATCACCGGCTACCTCCAGAAACACACACAAAAAAACAAGCAGTCTACTTCTGTGACACTTTCCTTTCCAAAATATTCCACAGATGTGAGTTCTTACCCCATTGCAGCGAGGTTGGTCCCCTGGTTTTGCAGAGGGGGAAGCCAAGCTATTGAGTGGGTCAAATGATGTCATTGAGACGGCCGTCAGTAGAGTTGCTGTCTTCTGATCCTCAGCCTTTCTGCATCCTGTGTTTGAGCAGGCACACAAGCTAACTTCTTGGCAACATCAGGCGATGTATGAAATCAGCCTTCTACTGTCAACTTCTCCAATATTTCATGGCATAATGAAGCTAATTGACTCGGTAGACCTGCAATTTCACACATAACAACTCACACATTACTAAGCAAACAACAGTAATTCAGGAACCACAGTTCTCACAAGATGAGATCATGTCCATTTCGTTTCTAACACAGCATTTCTGTTCTATATTTGCCTGACACCTAGGTGAAAGCCATCTACTTGTTTTACGCCATTTTAGCAAAGAGCTGGGAATAACCAGTGCTGAGTTTGTAAGGGAAGGTTTTCAAGAGCAAGGGGTTTAGCCCTAAAACTTAAATTTGCTCATGCGGTGTATTAAGAATTGTCCACAATACACTAAGATTGAGCACAAGGCCAAGAAAACAGTTCCATCTTCAAAGCAGAATTGATGTGTGGAGTTAACATAGTGCTAACAACTCTAATGTCATAAGGAACGGGGTTTTCAAGAAATTCCAAATTCTGGAACCAGGTGATGATGTGGGACATTCAATGTTCATTTAAAACATAAACATGTTCCATGTAGTTGGTTGAAACTGTGAACTTCCAATCTCAGAAGCTATATAAAAAGAAGCCAGAAAGTTTAAGTCCTAAAAGTCTTGTGATTTAAGATAACTTTGCGGGAAGTGTAGGAACTATATAATTAGTAGTTGAGCCACTGCCAGGATGTGAGTACTTCTCAGGCTGCTAACACGTGGTGTACACCTGACTGTCACAGCTGGAGGGGTCCAGGTGAAAAGTGGTGGTAAAAAAGTGGTGGTAAAAACTAACAGTTTGTCTGCATGGGGAAATGCAACACAGAGACATCCAAATTAGCACAAAACGGGTCCTGGAAGCAGGACGTTCAGAGGAGATAACGATATGAGAGAGGAGTATGAAGTTGCCACCATCTTTGTCCGGGACATAGCAATTAAATTTGTAGGTGCACCTAGACTGCTTATTGCAAAGAAAGCTGTGATTTGCAAAGTAAAAAGGTGACTTCGGTCCATCCTGTGGATCTAGGAAATAGCTGTAGGCACACTCAGAGGCTGGATCCCCCCAAAAAGCATTTGATCCTTCAAATTTCTGAACCTTTGAGCAAGATAGGCACACCTCCACCATTTTGTGGAGCAGATCAGCCTGGAGTGCACCCACCGCCAGTCACTGCAGCACGGAAGAGGAATGATATCTCATCGCACAGAAGTGCAACCATCAACTAGCTGACCATGGCCTGAACATCCAGGTAAAATAGTTATGTGCTAACACAGCTATTTGAGTTCACGCACCCAGGGTGACAAACTGCCCAGCAGGCACCATGTCGTGCCCTTTATGACCTTGGACGCTGCTTCCTAGAATAACTTGTTTCAGATCAGCTGTGACATGACGCCTTGTTTCTGTCTTATTTTTCAGGGCTTGGGCCAGATCAGCCTTCTGACAGGCCAACGAAAACTGGGTGATAGAACAGAGAGCTGCAAGTTTGTCGTAGGAATGAAGTTTTCCAGCACATGAGGGAGCTTGGTGGTGTTTACCATCAGGAGATGATTGGAGGCCAGTTGGACACAAGGAGTTCAGTGTCACAAGATGATGGAGAACTGAGCACCATTTATGGAGACTCTGAAAGGAATAAACAGGAAAGCAAACGTCAGAGAGGGAAGGAATTTGCCTTCAAATGGATGGCCTCCAAGGGCATCTGCTCACAGTCTAACCACGATAATGATTTATTGTCTGCTTTGGGCTGACTTTAACCTCACTTGACTGCCAAATGCAGAGTATAGGCCTGCCTTGCCCTGGGGAGCTCACAGTACAAAATACAGACTCACAGGAGAGATGACAAGTGGGGAATAAGCATAGGAAAGGAGAAGATTTTGCCAGGTATGGATTTTGTCAGCACTGGGAGGGATCTTGCTCTCTTCAAACCAAAAGTGGCTTGTAAACTGATTTTGGTGGTCTTCAGCAAGTTATAAGCAGCTTGCTCTCAAGTTCAAATGAGTGGGATCATGCAAAAGGCTTCATCCCTCCATCCTTGTGGACTTGAAACTGCATTTAAAGGTAGAGAGTGCCATTTTCTTGAGCTGTTATTGTGGGGAATTTGGGCACTAAAAACAATTCATTAATGTACTGTGACTACTGTCTATGTTGTAGGAATTTCTCCCATATACGTGGCCATAGCATCAGTAAAAATCATCTGCAGTGCACCCATGCACCATGTGAGCACTTCTGACAGGTACTCGGGTACTTTCTTTGGAAGGGAAATGTGGCAGAACTTCACTGTTATTGGAAAGGTACTTCTGACTTCTTATTTCACTCAGTGTTTATTGCCATAGACTGCTTTCTAATGGGAAGACAAAATTTTGCAGAAATGACTGAGTAACAGGACAAACCATGCAGTGAACTGATGTCTCGAGTTCTATAAATAAGAAAAGGACTCCTATTTCTACCATATATACTGTAATGTACTGAAGTAACTGTAGTATCCAACCAGAATATCATGCTTAAAAGTGTAGAGTAGAACTAGAAAAGGTCCAGCAAAGATCAAGGAGTGTTTAAAGAAGGGTTGAATAGATTATGGCTATTCTGCTTGGAAAAGAAAAACAAAGATTAACGAGGGGGACAATAATAGTCTATAAAATCACATAAAGCAGTGAAGAGGAATAAGGTAGACACATTTTCTTGTAATATGTGGCAAAAGAGTATGCAGACCCCAGTACTTGACTATTTCCCTGCTTTGTCATGTGTTGACAAGAGGATTTCAGAAATGCAGCCAACACCCTCAGAGAACAGAGTGGGAGAAGCACGTAAGCCTGGCTTTGCCCAAAGTGAATCAAGATGATATTCATTCCAGGAAATTTGTTTTCCTTCACTGGAGAATTTAATTAGCCATGGAAGGAACTCTAATTACGCTTAAGAAAAAAATATTGGGATACATGTGACTGAGAGCCAGTCATTTTCTATTGTTTCGAAAGTAAACAGTGGAGTCTTAGGCAATTTTTAGATCATCCGAGTTACAAAGAAAATAACGAAGATGCATAAAGTGGATTCAAAAATTTTAAAAAAGGCAACAAAGTATTTCCCATGAGCATAGTGCCTGCATCCCCTAGTAAGTACACACTTGCTATCCAAACTCCAGCCTTGCCTTGTTTGAAAGAAACGGTGATGGGATCGATCCTACACTGGTGATTTCCTTGGGAACACCCCTCAGGAACATTGGTCAAACCTTTACTTTGAATCTCTTTTTATTTGAAAGCAGGTATTGCTTGGCTAGCAAACAGACCAGACACACAAAATAGGTAAGCAGTGGAGATATGTTGGAGAGGATGGCTTGCTACACAATTAAGATGCTTATTTCAGGTCTTTATGATGAGATTATTAAGAAGTTACTTTAAAAAGAAAAATCAAACACTGGGTTCCTCATTCATTTTCTTGGCCTCACAACAGATTTGCCCCATTGCATACTGTAAGCCTTCAAAAATTATGAGTTGAGACCCAAAATTATGAAGTTGCATCAATAATATATGACAACATTCATGCTAATAGCGTAAGATCCAACAACCATGCCTAGGGCGAGTCACTTTGCTCTGCAATGCCTTGGTGTTTTCTTCTGTGACTGAAGCAGAAGAAATCCTTACTTGCCTCACAGATGTGCATATGAGGCTTAATGAGGCTTGATTAATGTTATCAAAGCACTTTGAGATCTTTGATAGGATAAGAAGCTTCCCAAATGCCAAACAGTGCTCTTTCCAGATGAGTTAGGTCTAACTCAATCCCTGTGAGAGCACACAGATGGTATTTCCCTCGGTAATATTGTTGAATTTTGGCTATGAGGAGAGCTCTTTGGTTCTTGGCTACGGAGTTGTGTAAGACAAACATCCTGAGGCTGGTGACCATCTGGAAGGCTCTGATTAGTGGTAACATCTGCCTTTAGTCTCTGGACACCAGATGGCAGAAAACAACTTCGTATACCGTCCTAGGAGAATTCTGGGGTTTCAGCTAACCCAGGCAATCTCTTTTTCTACTAAGAGTTAAAGCAACATTTCTAAGTATATTGCTCTGCAGTGTATGCTACAGGGTCCTGAAAATGTGATATCATCCAGGGTGGATGTAATACTTTAGACATGGACCCTAAGGGAAACATTGCATGATCAGGGGATAATCCAGTACCAGAAGGTATTCTCCGTGAGGTCTGGATCATCATCTTTTTGCTCAGAGCACTATGGTATAGTGCAAAGAGAAGGTATAAGGGACAATAAATTCACTGGCAGCAGTGAGACACGTCTATGAAATGTGCTAACATTGCAGGAGATGAACATCTATCCAGGCATCATTTTTCTTCATCTCCATGAGTTTCCAGCTAGAGCTTTATAAAGTGATGGTGGTGTTAACATCTGGAGTGAGAGAATGTTCGAAAAGCTCTGAGTGAACAGCAAAGAATGTTGTTTAACAAATTTGCTGGCTTTTTTGAACAGATAAAAAAATAAATTGGAGTGGATGGGGAAAGTCAAGGTTTAGGTAGAAGGCAAAGGAGATGAGGACTTATGTAAGTAGATAAATGATGTTGAACTCAGGTGTTGGTCTTGTTGTCCTGGGTACATTATGGTTTATTTTACACTCTGTATTCCTGCTGGATTCCTTTTTTTTTCTTTCTTTTTAAATTAATTAATTTATTTTTATTATATCCATATGGCTGTATGTCAGCAAGAGGTAAAGTGATTTCTCTCCTAGGCTTAGCCTTGCCAGGTGATGTATTACTTATAGGCTCCTTAAAGTCTTGTTTCAGTGTGCAAGTAGATGCATATTCTGAATCGGTGTTGACAGTGCCCAACTTCTCTGGGTTTTTGTGAGAGCTATTACCGATAGTTGGAGAGCAGAGCTTGGCTTCCATCAGTGCCTTCAAACAGCGTGGGTAGGTGTGCATGGGGCAGTGGGGGCTTTGTACACACCTGACTGTACTCGGACAGCCCAGGGCTTTGGCCCCTGCCTGCCTGCTACCTCGTAATAGCAATTAAAAATTGCATCCAACCCTTCCTGTTTATGGCTTCTCACACTGAACAGCTGTCTCTTTCGGGGAGTAGGTTTCTTCCTAGCTTGAAGTGACTTGTTATGAATTTCTGGGCTGTTTTTTGAACCTGAAGGTTTGCTCGTTTGTTTGAAGTCTGTTCAGACTGAAGAGCTAAACTGTTGCTGAAAAAATAAAAGCATTGCTGGCTTCTTCAAATGCTCCTTTAAAACCCTGCTTAGCAGAGATGCTTACATCTTAGTGGTTGTTTAGGTGCCACCTTCCATTACTGGGCTTTGGATCAATTAACAAATGGCCAGATCTGTTAACGATCAGCTCCTTTGGGTCTGGCCTTCCAGAAGCAGGTGAGAATAAATGCAGAGAGAAAGGTCTTGGGTCTGTTGGAAGTGGGGCTGTGGGGTGGCAGGGTTGTGTGTTAGCGCAGTTTGCAGTTCTCAGATCAGGCCAACATGGCTGGAGGTTTTCCAGGCTCAGAAAACTGATGCTTTAAAACAGACTGGATGGGAGCTGACCACCCACCCTCGCTATGCTTTATTTATACAGGGACGGTAATCCGGATCGCCTCGGCAAGGATATGTGGATAGATACGTGTGCTGGCCTCTCTGTGCTTAGTTAACCTCTTTGTGGCCATTGCTGCAACAAGTCCTGCATCTCAGCATTGGAAACCAGGGGGAAAGAGGCAATGCTGAGAGAAGGGAGAACTGAGACAGACGTGGAGGTGTTGTTCTGTTTGGCGTGGGAGCCTGAGCTGGGGATGTTGCTCGGGCTTTCTTCCCTCTAGTCTTCACCCCCCAGCTTTCTTGCATGACCCTGTGCTCTTCGACATCATTTTTTGCAGCTTGTCTTGGGAGCTGTAAAACACAGGACTTCTTGTTGACAGCTGTGCCCCTGATGTTCTTCTGTGCCATGCCAGGAGCCTCAGTGGTAAATGATAACATTTCAAGGGGAAGGTGCATGGCTAACACCCCCTTCCAGTGATGCTCACGTGAGTTATCAAACATATTCTTAAATGCCAAAGTAATATCAATAACATCTCTTTTAATGATTAATAGTCATTAAAAATAAAATAAATTAGAATTCTGAAACATGCCAATTACTTTTCAAATTCTGGGTTTATCTTTTATTCCAAGCATACTCTGAGCTGCCTTCGAAAGCAAGAGGAATTTTGCCTGAGGCTGACAGCAGCCTGGTCAGAGGGAAGCTGGTGCCTGCACCACCAGCAGAATGCCATCGCCTTTGGGGACTGCAGCCATGGGAAGCACAACTGGCTGATTTGTGGGTGGAAAAAGAGTGGGGATTTTAAGTAAGAGCTGAAACAGAGGAAAAACTCTTACTGTTGCAACAGGCACCATGGGCTCTGAGCTGTTAGTACTCCCTTTCCTTCAGAATCTCAAGGAGAGATGGAGGCAGCAATTAAATCCTGAAAAGAGGGTTGATAACTAAATTTTGGTTCCACCTTGAGCAGGCTCCCTTCCAAGGGAGGCATTTTTTCCACCTGGAGAGTGATGTGCCTGATGCTATTATCACTGCTGCTAATACTTTTGGCACGTATGCTGGAAAAGGATGCGCACTGCTTATCATATAAATGCTATCCAGAGTTTTTTGGGGGAGCTTTAATTCCTTAAAATCCACTCCCCAGATTCCCACGGGTTTGGTTTGTCATACACAGCAGTTACACCCAGAGCAGTCTGGAGCTGGCACTGTTCTGGGCAACCCGTCCTGCTCGGGGTGTTCCCTATTAGTCAGAGCTTACGAAGCCATTTCTGGATCAGTTGTGTTGCCCAAGTGGTTTGGGGTCTGCTTGTTTTCAGCCAGGAACACTTCCCTTCTGTGCATAACCCTGAAAAATGGAGACTACTGGAAGCGAGCTGGGAGCACGAGGGGATCCTTGTGATAGCTGCACCTCAGAAGAAGCCTTGAGGCCAAAGATGGTCACCAGCACCAGTGCCTGGCAAAAATCTCACCATCTGAGAATGCTGTTGGGAATTCTCCTTCCCTATGAAGCCAGTAAGCCTTCAGTATCTCTGGACTTGGACTCCAGAGTGTGTTTGAACATGACCCCAAACTTTGAATCCAACCTCAGAATCAGTCTGGCTCTCGGTCAAGAGGAGCATTTTTGCAGCCAATTTCTGCTCAGTTCCACGACCTACATCCAGTTCTCAGCAACCCTGGAGTGAGATCTGAAGTAACACCATAGATGCTGGTATAGGTATACATCGCAGAGCCTGAAATCAGAATTTGACTCGGCTCCTCAGTGTTTATCACAATCCCTCCTTTCTGAAACGCCTTTTTGCCCCTGTCTTCTGGAGGCTCATCAGGGGGTGTCTTTGCAAACAGAATTTATGTACTGTGGCCAGATCTAAGCTTCAGTACTCTTTATTCCCTCGCATTTGCTTATGAGCTGGAACTTCAGCAGGCTGAGATGAGGGAACTTGCTCCCAATTAAAAACACGCCAGTGCCCTCTTATGTGAGAAGCCTGCACTGCTGCCTGCTGGGGATGTCCTGCAAGACTTTCGGGGGTCCTCTTTCTCTTCAAGGCCTTGGGTTGTTCTCGTTCCATGTGCAGTGCTCACATTCCTCTTTGTCTCTGATGTTCTGAAATGAGAATAGTTAATTTCTGTGCTCACTGCAGGGATGAGTTCTGGCAGATCACGGCTCAGCTAGGCTGGTGCTTGACATGCAGAGCAGTTCTGCAGTTTGAGAGGGATGTAGAGTAAAACTGCATGAAAAATTGCTTTTTCTGTTTCCTGGCTCACTGAGAATTTAGGAAAGAATATTTACTTTGAGTTGAGCCAAAGCAACAGGAGAAAATTAAACATGCTGTTTTAGGTTAGGGTTCTTCCCCATTTTTTAATTAAGATTCAGTAGATAGACTCCTGAATGGAATGCTGCTTCAAACTGAAACACCAAAACACGCTATTTTGCAAATAAATTAACATTTTGCACTTTAAAGAAAGAGATTTTCATCCTGATTTCTAAAGCAATGGGATGAATTCACAACAGGCAACTTCAGCAGATACCAATCGGCCTCGCTCGGTGCGGACAATGTTTTGCCAGCAAAGGCCTGAAGTTCAGTGCAAAGGCAGGGTGGGCTGGGGTCAGAATCACCGGGCAAGCAGAAAAACAACCCCAGGGAGATGAGCAAGTCAGAGAATGTCAGGATATTGAGACAATGAACCAAGCTGTGTGTTCTTGGGAAATGGTTGCAGTCCTCCAAGGTGGCTCGGCAGTGGGCAGAAAAGCTGTTCCTTAAGAGAGAAATGTTGTGCTGATAGAAGCTGTGAGTAGGAATGACAACAGTCTGCCCAAAGAGGGAGAAATATTTGCTTTCCCCTTCTGGAGTCCATTCAGCAGTGGTAAGCAGACCACTTGCAGAATTTGCCTTAAATTTGCTGAGCCCTTGCAGCTTTACTGCACTCTTGCTCCATCCCCACCTTGGAAGAAATAACCTGGTCCTGCTCTCTGCTTTCTGCCTCCATCCCTTCTGCCTCCATCCCTTCTCTTCATCAACACCGTGGGTTCTGCTGTGGGTGGGCAGATCTTATCTTGTCCTCTCCTTGGCTATAACTCTTGCAGCTCCAACGTGGCAGAAAAATTGGTTGTTCTCGGGTTGTGTGTGGTTGGTGTGCTTGTTTGCTTTTGTTTGTTTGTTTTCCTTTTGTGGGTTTTTAAAAAAAGTGTCTCGTGTCTCTGTTATTCCATCCTTCCTCTGCAAGCCCATGTCCTTGTGCAGAACATGCTGCTACAGAGCTGGGGACGCGAAACCACAGATGAGAGTAGGAAATGAATGTATAAATCAGAGCATTACCACGGCGCCCGCTAGCAGTGCCATACCAGACAGAGGACACTGCCTTACGTTGTCTCGCCCATAAACCCCTTTGGAAGGGGCTTGGATTACCATTTGCCATTTTGGCTTGGCCCCTGGCTCCACCTCTGCAGAAAGCTTGGCTGAGTGGCACTGCAGAATCTGAGAGGGAGAAAGCCCGGTAGGTTTGATGGCTGCAAGATGATACTCTTCCCTGCTCTCTGTCTGTTGTTTTACAGCTCCTCCAAGTAAGAAGTACACAGGAGAAAAAAATCAATTGGTTTCATTTAATATAGTGGGGTTTCTAAACAATCACTCAGGCTGCAAAGTGGATCAATCACTTCGGCCTCTTGACAGAGGAAATACTAAATCAAATATTGATCGACTCCCCCAGCACCCAAACTCCCTTTGCTAACAAATTATTTCTCATTGAAGGTAGCCCACTGGACCAAGAACGCTCACAATTGCAAAATCAATTTTTGTCCAGCACACGGAGTGACAAGTTTTCTCTTCTTTTATTCCTGATTAAGAAATTAAGACCCTGATTAAGAAATTTCATGCATCTCCAGTGGGCTTTGGCTTGGCTGGGAGAGCCCCATGTGTCGGCTGCAGTGAGTGAAGCAAGCATGGCATGAGTTTGCCTAAATGGCCCACGATCTCATGGTCTGTGAAGCCTCTGGCACCAAGAAGCAGTGAGTTCAGATCCATGCTGGGCCAGTACAAGAGCACTGGGCAGCCACTGGGAACAGAGCGAGTGGGTTCAGGCCAGCCTGCAAACAGCAAATGTGCCCAGTCCAAGAACTGCTTCACGACTGGGAAATTTTCTTGCTTGCTGGTGGCCTTGGCAAAGCTGCCCTGCTTTGGATGGGCTCTAAGGAGTGGATTATGTCAGCTTTCTTGCAAGGGGCCCCTGCTGGCCCTACGTGGAGAAAAGGGCACGTAGCAAGAGATTTGTTAAAGGGTGCTGTGTCCCGGTTCATTGCTGGGAACGGGGGCAGAGGAGGGAAAGCAAACAGCATCAGCTCCTCTGCCTGTGCCCTGAGCCAGCAGGACTCAAGGTGCTCGATCCCCTGCGAACAAGAGTGATGGGTTGCAGGGTGCAGAGATGTTAAGCCTCAGAGACGCTGCAGGATCAGGCCTAGGCTGACCTAGGATGCAATGCCCTGCTCTGTGATGGATGTCCCAGCTCTGTGGGTTGGGCTCAGACTGAACATTGCTGTAACTTCGTCTTTGTCGGTTTAATTTTCTAATAACATATTTAACCGAGCAATGCAGCCAGACTGGAGCCATAGCCCAGAACAGCAGTTGGCATGAAAAACTCTACTGTATTTCTGACACTAGGGTCTTTTATAGCCAGGGTATGATGGTTTCAGCACCAGTGCAATTGCAAGTAAGTATTAAATATCCCAATTAGCGCAATTCACAGTTATCGACAACACTGTTTTCTTTCCAACATTCCCCAAGGACAAGAAAATGCTCTGTGCAAATCTGAAAGCTTTGGAAAGAGGAGGTGTGCACCAGTGGGGTGCTGCAGCCCTCACCATGGGGAGTTTCAGAGCCGATTTGGGGCTGGGCAGAAGCAACACATCGGCTTTGTTAGGCAGCCAAGGGAAAATAGAGTCAACGGCCCTAATCCCCCACCTGAGAGGGGCATGTGGAGCAACAGGTACTGAAACTAATGGCATTTGTTGGAGTCTCAAACAGCAGAGTGAAGAAATGAGAAGACAGCGGGCCTGAAGGAGAGAGGTTCACCCAGCAGAAGTCTGCATCGCTTCAGCATCTGCACAAGCCTCCAAGCACAGGCGTTTAGCTTGCATTTCCACCTGCTTTGTGAAGGTGGAAATGAGAAGAGGAAAGTCTTTGTAGTCATGAAATGTTCAAGGGAGGATCACAGTATTAAAACCATGCCTCCAGGTTAGACTGTGAGCCCAGGTGGGTCTGGCTGGTTTGTGTCCCTGCTAAACCCGTGCTGCTAGCTGCACTTTGTGACTGCTGCCCATGCAGCTATGTAAAAATGTCGTTTGCCCAAGCCCATTTTACTGGTTTGTTCTAGATTTGTGGAGTAAAAGAAGTAATAAATTTCTTCTTATTTTCTTCTTTCTAGCCTGGTTACCTAACTTCATTTGCAGTATAAGGGCATGAGCCTCCAAATGCAGGTGTGTGCACTCAGTAAGTACACAATATTGGTGGAATACAGGATTGACTTCCGAGGATCAGTGATTACAAAATGATCATTTTATCCTAAATTCTTTATATTTTGCTTGTTTTCTTCTTCTTGCTCTGTGAAGCCAGAGAGGGAAACTACACAGCTACAGAAAGATGTTGGATTTGAAGAGTTAAAAGATGACAGTCAAAAAAAAAAAAAAAAAAAGCCAACACATAACTGCCTTTTAAATAAACATAAGTGTTACTGATCTAGTTGTTTATGACTCTCTGTTCCAGCCCATTTCTCTGACAAAAGCCAAGTGAAATTAGTGTTCGATGCCTGAAGAGAAATGGAAAGCCATAGGCCTCACATGAAAGGGGAAGCCGGGAAGTAAACAAACTCTGATTGCATGGAAGGGGTTGCGTGTTTGCTTAGAAAGAAATCAGTGAATCACAGGTTGTTTGCAGTCAGGAGAGGGAAGAACAATTCAAGGAACGGGTACGTGGGGACACTTCAAGAGCCCGGTGCTGCTGCAGAGATGCCACAGCAGCCTCGGAGCCTGAGTAGGACCAGAGAAATGTGGCTCTGCTCCTTGATTTTGCTCCTGAAGCCAAGATCAGCCTGTCCCATATGGTCTGTGACCTTTTGTGGCTGGGATTCTGACCCTGAGTTCAGCCTTGTGGCTACGAGGTGTTCCCAGACAGTCAGCTTGTGTCAAGGCAGAAGGTGCGTGGGCCTAAGGGATGCTGTAGGGCTGTCATCGGGGGCTTCCCATCCCTCAGCTCCCTTCTGAAGTCACTCCATCACATCAAGCTTTCTGATAGAGATACAGCCAGGGTAGTAAACCCTGGGAAGTTCTCTGGGAATGGGAGTCCCAGTCAGCATCTGAACTAAATGAAGTGGCTCCTTTCAGCTCCCAGTCCTCATAGAAGAACCGACCTAACATCTCTTGTAAGCCCATCTGTTGGGACAGGACCTTCCAGATAGCTTTGAATCTGTTTTGTAATGCCTCTGACCTTTTTTATTATTATTATTATTATTTTTCTTTTTTTCCTTCATCTCTGAGTAATCCTACATCCAACTTCTGCCTCCTCAGCCTCGCACAACTGAGGAATCCGCAGCTACCTCCAACCTGCTTCTGGCTTATGCCTGTTCTTTTGCTGGGGGTTCTCCCCAGGCCATGAAGAGCTCCTTGGTCAATGTGAACCCTACCCTGAATGTGGAAGGGGAATGCAGTGGGAGGAAAGGAAATTAAGGCCTTTGATCTCTTATTTCATCTGCAAGGCATTGCGAGCCAAATGCTTTTGAATAAACAAGCTGTCAGAGGTAGGGAGTGAACAGATCCACATGGACTGGGTGGGGTGCTCTCGGCACAAGCCAATGTGGAACTGATGTAAAGCAAGTGATGGGATGTCTCCCAAGCATTCCCCTGCCTGGTGATGTAATCTCTCATTTGTCATGTGCCCTGGCCAAGGCTGATCTCTCTGCATGCCAAGGATGAGTGGAGGCAGACTTGCTGTCAATCCTAGGATGGGTTGGAGGAGCCCTCAGGAGATCTCTAGTCCATCCTACTGCTCAAAGCAGAGCCAGCTTTGAGGGCAGACCAGGCTACTCACAGCTTTATTGCTTGGGTTTTGGAAGCCTTCATAGATAGAGACTGCACGAACTCTCTGGTCAAGCTGTTCTAGTACTTGACTGTTGGCATGATGGAAAAAATAATCTCTAAATCCTGTTTGAACCACTTTTAATTCAATTTATGCTCGTTATCTCTCAACCTCCTGCTGTGTAGCAGTGTGAAGGGCCTGGCTCTATCTTCCTGATGACCTCTCATGGGTATTGGAAGCTTGCTATTAGGCCTCCCAAACCTTTCTTCTCCAGCCTAAACAAGCCTAATGCCCTGGGGCCCTGACCATGTGCTTCTCTATGCCTTGTGTTTGCAAAGAGGCAGCTGAAAGCATGTCCCACTGCCGTGGCAGTGCAGGGAGTGTGTCCTGGGGTCCTTGGATGGCCCTGGGATTCTTCTCCCCAACTCTTCACCCTGCTATCCCTCTGCTGAGATGCAAACTTCACCCCTGCTTGTCTCACTGCCCCTTGGTGTAGCCCACCTGTGACCACAGCCTGGTGACCAGGTACCTAGCTGGGAGAAACCTTCTTTATGCAGGCATTGCCCACTTCTTGGACAGAATGGGCTAAATTCGTCTCTTTTGTTGTGCCCTGCTCGTTTCCAAAAGCAAATGGAGCAGAGATCTGTTGGTGGTGCACTGTAATGAGGATAATGTTCCTCCTGTCACAGCTGGAATTAAAATCAAGGTCATTTTACCCCTTCAGGCTCCTCCTTTTCATCTCAGTCCCTCCCCAGACAAGCATCTATCTCTTCTTTAGTGACCCCAGCATTTAGGACAACTGGGACAGGACAGCCCTGCCTAGTGGCTAGTTCCACCCAGTTGCAATATTTATGTATTTCTCGCTGTCTCTTGCTCTTTGAGACCCTGCAGCTTCTTGATGACTGCATTTCATTTGTCTCAGGTTTTAGAATTTATTTCGGTGCCTCCAGTCCTGATGTCTGAGATTGGCTGAAAATAGTAACTCAGTCTGATCTTATCTGCAGCTATTACAGACTTCAATTGTATCCTCCCGGGACTATCCGTTACTCCTAAGAAATTAGATCTTGGTTATTGTTTTCTTACCCCTTTCCCTGTCCTCATAAACCTTCCAGCTATGGGTTTTGCTTTGCTGGAGCTTTTCAGGAGCCAGATTGGCCTTTTATAAAGTGTAAGATAATCACATACTTCCCCAGATCCTGCCATGCCTGGGTGCCGAAGGTCTTTGATAGCTTTGCTTCACAATGCCCTTGGAAGAGATAATGGAAGAGATAATCTGTGGCACAGCAACTGAGGCACAGGGTGGTTATTGCTTTCATTTTAAGAACTATTTCCACTGGGTTCTGTTGGAATAATAGATGCACAGCTCATCGAGAGCTCAGTGCCTCGCAGACCATGGTTTGGCAGGCCTGCCCTTGGTTACAGACTAATCTGGTGGTCGGCTCCGTGAGTCCTGACTATAATGAGTAGGCAGTCCTCCTTCGAAATAATAAAGTGACCAGCACAGCAGGCTGCATTAACCGAAGTCCAACCCAATATCTCACTGCCCCAGCACACAGGAGTAATCCTGGCTTTGCTTTTGCAGAAGAAGAGCCTCCAGGAGTGACTGCATCTGGGTCAAGGAGCTGGCTACCCGGACCATGTAAACCTGATGGGGTGGAGAGCCCGCTGTCCTCTCGCACCCACTGCCCTAAAAAGCTCTGCAGAATAGTGTGCCAGCAGGCAAGTCAGAAAGAGAGAGATAAAAGCCAACCAACCACCTTACCAGCCAGGAGTCCTTATGAAACCAGGGGTTAAGAAGGGTAAGGAAAACCAGAATTTGTGTAACTTCCTTAACTTCTTGTGCGTGGCACCCCAGAACTGGGAAATGCCCTGCATGGCAGAAGATTTCAACTACTTTACAGCCAAGATCAGCCAGATTTGTTTTTAGGAAGGGTCACACTGCACCGTTCAGAGAGAAGCTACGTGATAAGGAACTCTCTGAGCCTAGCAGCAGATTAGGGCAGAGAGAGCTGAAAAAACTGCACGTGAGTGTACAGAGTGTAAATATCTGAGGAACTACAAAAGAGACAGAAATTAATTTAAGTCTGGTTTAGCTCCTGGCCTCCCTGATCTTAGCAGAGCCAGGGATTTGGGCCTGGAGCTCAGCATGACACAGTTGTATGGGTGTTTTCCTAGTGCACAGAACATTTGTTTTATTGAGGTCAAGGCATGGAAAGAAAGACAAATTTATTAGACAAGATAAAATCAGAAAGATTAGACCCAAACCTCCAATTCTTAGCACCTCAATTGCTGGTATGTTTGCAATCAAGATCTACTATCTCTGGCTTGAGTCTTTCCCTAAAGTAAATATATAAAGTAAATATTTGTAACTCTTGTGGCTAGGATCTGTTCTGGATAAATGTTTTTGCAGCGTCTTGTGCTACAATGCTTCAAAGCCAACTGGAGCCATTTGGCACCATCCCAAATCAATTGATCACGAGCAACAACAACACCCTTCCCCTTTATTTAAAAAAGGCGATGCTATTAATTTTCCAGCCCCTGCTGTTGTTTAAGTACGGTGCACTTTGCACTGGAGGGACTTTGTGCGGGGCTCCTCCACTTACCCAGCACTTCAGATTTCAGTACCGCGCATCAGCCTGCTGCCTGGAAAATAAACAGATGCTGTAACAGGACTCACATTCCCCGGGTCTTGGCTGTCAAGCCAAGTGGGGAATTGCAGGGACCAGCAGAAGGTGGGGCTTGGGGCCAGAAATGAGGAGGTGTCCATCAGCCTCACTGCCAGCTTGCGAGAGCACGCTGCCCCGCTGGGCAGAGGCGATCGCCTCGGCGTCTCCAGAAATCAGGAGTGATCAGCACACAGTGGGCAGCAGGGGGTGGATGTGCGGGCTTGTGGCTTTCTGAGTTTTCATCAAAACATGAATCAGTGTCTAGATTTTTCCACATTTTTTTTTTCCATGTTTTCATTGAAACCAATATCTAAAAAAAAAAAAAAAAGAGGGAGAACTAAGAGAGGATGTGGAAAGTATGGGTGAAGTTTGAATTTTAAGCAATGTTTCTGACTTGGGTATAAAAGCATAAGGCTACAAGAGCTCCACAACAGTTCTGGAACTGAACTGCTCCATACCCCCCAAGACATAAATAAGGATTTCTGGGCTCTGAAACCCTGGATGGTCCAACACCAGGCTATGCTGGGGGAGAATCCCACCATGGCTTCACTTGGCTTTTGTGTCCTCATGCTCCAGACACTGGAGCTGAGATGTCTAAGCAGGAGCATGGGCATGCCAGGAGATGGGACCCAACTGTGTCAGAGCTGCTCAGTACTTCCCTACAAGCAGGGCATCGCTTTACTGAGTGGGTGCTGCTCAGAACTAGTGAGGAATTTGGAATCTGCCTCAGAACAAATATTTATTTCCCCTGCAATAACACTTAGGTATTGGGAACTCATTCCTTAACCCCACTTTTCCCTAATTCTTTTAACACTCCCTGTATTTCAGCACCAAATGCCAGGTGAATGTTTTAATTAAATATAATGAGTAATTATTTCCTTATTCCAGGAAAGACTCACCTGAGAAGCTCCTAGATTCAATCAGTGCATTGATAATTTTAATGTCTCATTTCTACATAGCCTTTAATCAAAACAAAAGTTCAGGAACAAGTCATGCATTTTTGCAACTGAATTCTTCTTTGAGTATCTTGGAGGAGGGCTTCCTTTAACAAAATGAAATCTGACATCTCAAATCAATTGCATTCTTAGCTGATGAAACCCTCAAAATGTATTTCTTGATGAAGACACAGGAAAACAGGATTGAAATGGGAGGGGGATGTGCCGGGGGGTTTGAGTTGCCTTGGCTTTTTACATAAAGTGCCCACCTGATTAAAAAACTCTTTCTCTTCTACCTGCCAACCCTCTCTCCAACAATGACAAAATCCTTTGATGTTGAATTTTTGGCCAGTTAACTACAAAATTACACAGACACACAAGAAAAAATCATCCAAAGAAGAGGCACCGTTATCTTTTCATAATCCCAAGCTATCGTACCTCCCAAAAGGTACCTAAACTTCACTGTTGTATCGACCAAAATGTGGCAAGTCACACAGGTCATATTTTTAGTTAGTTCGCTTTTTCCATTTTAGGAGGCTTTGTGGGCTTCAACAAAGGTATGCCTTGGAAACCTGGGAGTGTATTATCAACCATTAATTTCATGGAATGATATTTTGGCTCCATCTTCAATATTTCTTTTACAAATCCATTTCTAAATTGGCATACATTTTTCCTTTTCTCCCCAGTCATCCATTTGAGCCTGTGTTAAACAGCAGATACAAGAGAACATAGCTAGGTTTTAGTCACAAACAACTGCCCTTCCACACAGCTTAGGCTCCTGCTTTGTTTCTGTTTTATTTATTATTTTTTTTAACTGAGGAACCCATCCAATTTTCTGCTCTGAAGGCACATGGTGACATCTAGTGACTAAACTGCATAGGGCAAGTAAGCATCAGAACCAAGGAATTTCAGATAGATGTTTCTTCAAGGTTCTGACTCAATAACAAATTTGACAATTATTTTAAATTATGAAAAATGGGAAAGCTTTGTGGTTTTTTTTGTTTGTTTTTCTTTTGGTGTGTGACAAAAACGCAAAAAGAAGCAGGTACATTACATATTTGTGAAATATCTTAGGTTTAGTAAAAAAGTATTTAAAAACAATCAGAATACACATTCAATTATGTCAGAGAAAAATGGACAATATCCACCTGGGGATGTCCCTTTAAAATAGTTGGGTCTAATCCTCATCTGTAGCTCGTTAATTGCTTCCCAGCTGTCAGAAATAATGTGAGGGCCAACCAGCCTTTTTAAAAGCAGCCAGAAGAGGCCTGTGGGTTTTTGCTGGTGGTGTTTTGTTTGTTTTGGTTTTTGTTTCTTTGTTTGGTGGTGATAATAGGCATCAGCTTGTGGGGACAGTGTGGGGTTAAATGGCTTCTGATTTGCAAGACCTGCTGGAAAAAAGTAAGGTAGAGAAATGAAAAGGATTGTTGTAGTGGGCAGGCTGATGGTCTTCAGGCAGTGACCCTCTAGAGAGTAATGTTGCTCTAGCGAAAGAGGGTGGGCTTGGATTCAGAAGAGCCATAATGTGTTGACAAAAAGCCACCTGAAGGGCTAATTTTCTAGGTGTAGGGGCTGACAGCCCCCACTGTAATTCATTAGTAATCTGCTGTGTGTGCCTAGATATCCACGGGGGAAGTCATTGATGGAAACCAAGCTGACCACAAAAACAAGCAGGGTTAAATGGCTCGGCTCTGCTGGCACAAGCACGATGGACATCTGATGCATTTGTAGGGTTCTGGCAAGTTCCCTTTTGAAAGGAAGAGCTTATGACTAGCTTCTTGTGTGTAAGGTTTGGTCAGCCTTCCCTTCAGTAAGGCAAAGGCAGCAGCGTTCAGGACAAACCACGAGGCCGACAGCCCCAGCGACCGGTTTCTAGTTCCTAATCTGTTGCAGGCCTCCTGTGTGGTCTGGGACGAGTCACCTCACCCCGGGCTGGCTTGTTTTCCTTGTGGAAATGAAACCCTGTGTGTCCTTGGACTCTGATTGTCTCTGTGTTTTTCTGGAATCCATATATTCTATATTTAGGCAACTTTCTTGGTTATTGGCAGAAATCCTAACGTATATCTTGTTTGGTTGATGACCTGGGCAGTCTGTTTTGAATTAGTTCCCTTGACTTGCATTATTTGTCAGTCCTCTCTTCCTTATGTTCACTTCAACAGCAATTTGATCGCTTGTGTTGGAACTAAAACATCTAACATCATGCAGCAAAGTAACTCCTCATCTTAGCTTTAAGGCTTTGCAGTTGTGCCTTTATTTACTTTAGGTTGTTTGGCCTTGGAATAATTTCTGAGCTAGCTTTCTTTGGAATTGGATGACTGAGTTTGAAACAAGACTTTGAGCTATGAGATCTTGCTGCGTCCCAGAGACAATGCTTTAAAGGCAGGGTGGCTAGGTCCTGAGTAGAGCAAATACTACATAATTCATGGTGCCTCCCAGCAGACTTAGTTTTTTAAGAAATTAACGGTTCAATCCACTTGATCCCGGTTTCCTCAGTAACTTTTAGGAATTGTTAGAGACTGATAATCAAGGATCATTCATTTTCTATGACTCCAGGCACCAAGTGGGCTGAATAAATAGCACAGAGGAGGAGAACAAACATATGTGCCCTGACCCTGAGTTGAGATCAAAAGCTGGCTTCCCTCTTCTTGCACTGATGTGGCTGTGTTTGCTACCTGAGAAGCAGCAGCAGGGCTACTGGTGACATGAGCTCTCTGTTGTGTTTCTGAAGTATGTTTTCCGTGCTTCTCAGCGCAGTGGTGAAGCAAGGATGAAGGGTGTTGTGCTGCCCTCTCTACAGAGCATGCTGGCACCGCAGGGCTGAGCACAACTTGACTTCCATTAGGAATGTCTCTATCAGTCCCTGTGCTCTGTTCTCTTTCTTTTTGTGGTTGAGAAACCTCTGAGGTAGAGGAATAATAAGACTTTTCCAGTATTTATTTATTTTAGTTTCAGCTAAGAGTTGGTTTGGGCACTTTGTGGCTGCTGGTGTTTTGCTGGATTTGATCATTGTGCTGGGTCTGAGTAGTGGTGCAATACTTAGTCAAGTTTCATTATCCCTTCTTGCTGATACATAAATTGCTTTTTGTCCAGATGTAGATTAAACCCTAGTTTGTCTTGTAAATTCAAAGCTGTGTACAGATTAAATTGAGAGGAGAAAGCAGCGTTACTGGGGTCAGGGCCTTTGAAATGTTACTGCATCTGATTCAAGGTAGGATGGGACAATTTTACTGTGGTAGCCCAGAAAAAAGGGGAAGCCAAAGTATATGACAAGCCAGAATGAAGCACCTCTCCCATTGACATGTCTGAAATAATTGCCAGCATGCAAAGAAGGGAATCTACTAGATACTAGACCAGTATCCCTCCCATGGTTAGAGCAGAACCAATGAATCTGAGTTGTTTCTTTAGTTGCACGTGCCAGTATCAACTGCATTAAATCCTTCAGCTTTTTCACTGTCTTGCATATAGCCACTTTTCTTTGTATTGTAACATGCTACAGGGTGTCATCTCTTAAGATTATAGTCTCAAATGGAAAATCATTGTCTGCTCAGAATGTAATTGATTGCAAATATCTCAAAAAAAAAAAAAAAGCACTTAATAGGAAACTGAAGAACTCCTAGTGAGAACCAGCACGCTCCTGATTAAAATACATCTTACTCAGTCATCTTGTCCTTCTGAGCTCAGCTAGGTTGGTTTACTTAGCTAAAACCAGGTGTTTCTCTGGGCTAGAGCCCAAAGTCTGCTTCCAAGGCTTTGGCAGAAAAAAGTGGGAATACATTCAAATGGACTAGCTAATTGATCAGAAGTTAGTGCTACTTAAACTGCTTGAAGTGTTGAAATTACTTGAACAAATCTTATATTGAAAGTACTTTTCAGTTGTTTATTAGCGTTGCTAGTTTTGTTTGGGCTTGTGGCTTTGTTTATTGTTTATTTAACATAAAACAGGACCACAGGCAGTGGTGTTTCCTGATGCCTAACTGCTTGGACTATTTCTTAGCTAAGACTAGGATCAAGCCATTCTTAGCTGGAAAAAACTTTTTCTGACTGCATTGCAGTTTGTCATATCCCTGTATTACCAGCAATGTACAACTAGAATGAAGAGAGCATTGGATTTATGAAGTTTGCTTAGTGTCTTTCACACAGTGGCATAATAAAAACACACTCATCTTAAACAGAACAAGCAATCACCTCTACAGCAAAAAGTCTTTTTTATTAAAAATCAGCACACAGATCCTTTGGCCAATAATGGCATATGTGGAAAGACATAAATACCTATACAATATACTTACACAATTACCAAATGTTTTCATCGTCACAGACAGCTTCAGGTTTCTAGCAGTTTACTCCCTATACAAATGCTGAGCAAATAAACAGTGCCACACCCTACCCCCAAATGGCAAAGTTATGTAGCTGCAAAAAAAAAGTGCATTTTCATTCAATTGTTTAAAATATACTCGGCACAGTATCCCATGTTTATTCTGTTTCATAAAGGCACACTTAAGTAGTATCCTTCAGCTTCACGTAGCTTATAAGTAACAGACTGACACATTTCTGTGTTTTAGTAGACATTACCTAAATAGTCTGTATTAGAAAGTTGTAACTGGCATATTATGTCGGCATAAAGCAGGTCCAGTTCCAGGGTAAAAGCATTTTTTGCACAGGTACGTGTAGCAACAGATCGGAGTCTTGCAGGCAGTGTGATCTAAATTAAATACAGAGCAGTATTTGGTGACAGTTTGTCAAGCATACAGCGATACCGAGAACATACTTCAACTCTGATGCTGGAGCTGAACAGAAATTAATAGAAATGCAAATCTTAATCACCTTCCCATGCTGCTGGGCTTTTAATAAAATCTACAAAGCTAACACTGAATAGAGATCCCTGCCCCCTAGAACACTACTGTTAACAGATATGGAATACAAATTCAAATGCTCAAAATGAGGTATTTCAACTACAGAAAATCCACTGTTTGTCAAAAGTAGGACATGTAGGAGCTGTATTTGAGCTGACTTCACATGAACAAAATGAGATATTCAGGAAAGAAAGTGTTCAGCTGCAGGAATAGTATTATAAGTTTGGTTTTCCTTGTTTTTAAATTGAGATTTTATTTTAGTGGAATTTTCCAGTTAATTGGGATTAACATCTATGCAATAGATTTGCAGTATGGGTGTCTACTAAGAAAACTAAAACCATACACCAAAGAGACAAGAATCTCCCAAGTCTGCCACATTATTTTGTTTTGCAGCTAGAACAAAACATGAGCAACCTTAAAGAGAAAAGGGTATAATGAAGTTGTGTTAGACACGGATATCAGGTATATAAGAGGGGTGATATCAAGTATGTAAGAGTGGTCACCATCATTCCTCAGCTTCATCTTGCAAGTGTGCAGGCAGAGCACCTCGGCAGGCAAAGGGCTGTGCTGCTGTTGAGATGTACTGAGCCAGGTGCTTCTTCCTGACACCTGTGTAAGAAACAACTCGGAGAATTTCATAAGTGTTTGTATGCATCATGTTCTCCATGGGCCAAAGATTGGATGGAGATCCAGCGCTTCTCCTTCATTAAAAATTAACCCCTGTGGAAATTGTTGGGGGGCAGGTAAGGGGAGTCACAGCCAGCAATGTAAACACCTCCTGTGAACACGGAGACTGGTAGGAACGGATGAGCAGCACTCTTGCAGCAGACTTTTCACCTGCACTTTGGATCCCAGTACTTTAAATAATGGCTCACATGCCAACAAATTCAAGCACTGCTTGATACGCAATTCTCATGGACGTTAAAGTACTTCCTTAAACAAATTTAAAATATGACACTTAACTACCTTTTCCTATACATAATACATTTTCAATATTTATAAATACTCACATCACAAGCATTTAATCACATATATACACACAGTACTAGTTTACCCCAAATAACAAGTAGATATTTTTAAAATGCAAAAACCAATTTAAATCTCCTGTAATCTTGCTAAGTATGAAATCCTTGTTTTGGAATGATACACCTTGCTGAAAAGCACATCTGCCTATCTGCCAATACATGGACATGCATTAGAATGGACACATGCTAAAATAACTTATTTTCAGTACCGTAATTTGTTTTAGAATGAAATCAAGGATTCAGGTTTTCAAAATGGAGAATTATCATCCTTGGCAAAAGACTCTTCTTAATCCTCAATAATTCAATCAAAAGAAGAGAAGAACAAAATAACATACTTGATTCCTTTGGTATGAACTACTAACTTGCTCATTTAGAAAGCAAAACTAGAGATACTGGCACCATTTTTTTTCCATTTGTGCCTTCCTGCAGGTGAGAAGAGGCTCCTGCCAAGGCAGATTAGGGAATGATAGGAATTGTATGAAAGTGCAGTGTGCAACAAACAGTAAAACTGATCATTAAGAACATACGTCCAGGCATAAAAGTAAAATCTCTGGTTGTACTGGGAAAGATTTGTAGCTGACAAAGGGTATTGGCACTCAGTAGCTCTGTACTAATACTGGGAAAAAAACTGTGTATTAGAGTATCTGCCATGCAAGTGTTTGAATTACAGGCTCACCTAAAAGTTTGAGGGTAAATAAGATAATGAAATTGTATAAGTGATCTGTTCTACAGCCAAAAACATCCTGTCTGCATTTACTGTTCAATACCGTACCTGATGCTGACAATTCTGTCAGCACTAGAATTATTTGTAGTGTAGACAGAACTGAAGGGAATAATCCCATTTACTGACATATCATTTGAGCAATTACTTAGACCTTCTGTAATATTCTTTGCTCTACTATGAGGTACTCCTGGGGAGAAGGAGAGAATGTCACTGCTGGGAAATCACTCTCCTTAGAGTGCCATGCAGCTCTTAAAACAGAAGAAAAGGTTGTCTTCAAACACAAGAGTTGTCTTAAATTTGGGGGGAGGGGTGGGGGGGGTAAAATCACCCTTCCTTAATCAGGGTGACCTACTTCTCTCTTGACCACATTGAGTTTACTTTCTTATCTGTGCTAGACATTTTGGGGCAATCTTGCCTGAATTTTAAATACTCTCCACCAATCGAATCCTGCTAATTTACATTTTACAGAAGTAATCTAAAAATGTAAATCTGAAGCCTATGACATCTGACTGTGTAGTAGTCTATAGGATTATTTACTGTTGGGGGGAATGTTTCTTCACACACAATGTGTCTGGACAAAAAGCTAAGAACAACACCTATGCCTACCAACTGAAGGCTAGCTTTGTAGTGTAACTATTTGGCCAAAAATAATTTGCTCTTATCTGCAAAAAAACATAACTCATCCACCTTTTTAAATACAGACTTACTCTGTAGCTGCCAGATAATTTATGTACATGATGTCCTTAAAGCAACAGAAAGCCTAGAGACAAGTTACAGGTCTAACAATTCCATTCTTGTAAATCAGAGCACTCTCCAAAGACCTGACTTTCTCCCTCCCCTACTGTGAATATCTGATGCAAAATTGTTCTCTTTACTTCAATGCTTGTCAATAACCAGCCACCTGTTCCCACTGGCAACAGCAACTGATTTGTGGCCCCATTAGAATCTTCAAACCTTGCCAAACTGACACTTGTTTCTTGCCAAGAAATAAATAGCAGATGTTAGTTTCACAATCTTACAGATAATGTGAAGGCCTGTCATGATCTTTAGCAAATATACATTTGAATGTAAAAATCTTCCAGCAGCTTTTGATCCAAGTTAGTTACCCCCAATTTTCTGTATTATCCATATTTTGCAATCTATTATTTGCCTTCAATCCTGTAATACAAGCCTTTCCAGGTTTTTGCCACTTCTGTTTTACAAACGTTTTTACATCATGCCACATCAGTAGCTCTCAGAATTTCAGGGTTTCATTGATAGTGACATAATGAATCGTGCAAAATCTTTTCAATAATTTTTAAGCCCTAGTTACTGGGGTTCTCCCCATGTAATGGTAACCAAGCTCAGAGTCCATCTGCTTTTTATTTCCTCAGACTTTCACGGGATGCCATCCTTCCTTTGGCAACACTGTGAAGGTGGCACTCCCCAGTCATACATGTAGGAAAGCCTGAGCTTAACCTCCTCCTTACAGAGCTTCCCTTCTTTAGCCAGGGTCTGGTGCTTTTCCAGCATGTCCTCGATGCTTTGCTTATGCGTTACTATGTACTTATTGTTGCAACCCCGTGACTTATACTCAGTGTCAAAACGAGGGTCGTGCACTCTCTTCACATCAATGGGAGCCAGCCAAACCCCCAGGGAGACATCTTCGCTCTGCCACATGTTCAGGTAGTCTCTACTGAGACGCAAATAGTGCACCAGGTCTGCAGAAAGCACATAACCACCACCCAGGGCATACGGTAGATAGTAGTCACAGAGCACCCAGGCGCTCTCTTTCCACTTGCCACCAGATTTCACTCGACCCCGGCCAGAAAAGAAGCCCCAGTAGAGGCGGCGCGGCTCCTTGGCTCTCAGCTCTTCCACGAGTACATCCAAGCGTACAAAGGTATCATCGTCGGCCTTCAGGGCAAACTGGAAGTCAAGGTGCAGATCCAGCCAGACGTACATGGCCAGGACTTTAGCAGTCAGGTTCTCGTAGGAATCCCGCAGCTCCGGCAGAAGCAGGAGGTCCTTGTGACGGCTTTGCTCCAGCTCCAGGCTACGAAGCTCCTCGGCCCCGAGCCCACCGGTGCCGATGACGAAGCGGCTCCAGACGTCGTCGTGAGGAGGGCGGCCGGCCGCTGCCAGCCACGTGCTGCGGATGATGCTGCGGCGCTCGGTGTACTTGGGCCCGCTGGTGATGAGCACGGCCAAAAACGCCGTCTCCTGAGGGGACGGCGGTGGTGGCGGCGGGGCTGCGGGCGGCTGTGCCCCCCTCACCCCCCGAGGCGGCGGAGGCTGGTTGTGGGGGAGCCCCCGGGGGGCTGGCAGCGGCCGCAGCCCCTCAGAGGTGCACTTGGCCAGGTAGAGCAGGACCACAGCAAAGAGCGAGAGGCCGCCCAGGCCCAGGGCCGTCTTGTGGCGGCACAGCAGGCGCAGCAGCTTCATGGCGCTGGGGCGAGCGGACCCCGGACTGCAGCCCTCCTCTGCCCCGTCTCTCGTCCGGGAGAGGACAGCTTTCCTCCGGGAGCCCTCAGCGCGCCTCGCCTGCCCTCGGAGGTGGCTTCATGGCTCCTTCCTGCCTCTTTATTTTTTTTGCCTTCTTCCCCTTCTCTCCTCCGGGGAGGAGCTGCCCCGGCCCTGCCTACCTGCTGAGCCCTCGGTGTGGGCAGCACCCTCCGCTCCGCTCCGCTCGCCGCCTGCCGTGTGGAGGCCGGGGCGGGAGGCGGAGCCGCGCCTACGCCGCCTCACGGCGCCCGGCGGCCGCCATCTTGCGACCGCCATCTTCCCGCGGACGCCATCTTGCGGCCGCCATCTTGCAGCAGGGCAGGCGAGGCCGGGGCGCCGCCATTTTGGGTGCGGGCACGGAGAGGCAGGAGGCGCTGAGGTGGTCAGGGCCGGGGCAGGCGGCGCCGGGCAAGTCGGTACAAAAGGCATTGTTTTAAGCGCTTCCTGAACAAAAGGTGAACGACGAGAACAAAGCTAGGGGTGTTGCCGTGGCCAGGATAAAGGCAGCTGGCAGGAATTAGTGTTTAAAAAAAAATCGTTTACGCTTGGAGCGGAAAATCTATTATTAATTACTAATTATTAATTAATAGAAATAGAAGTGAATGAGGAGCTACACTCGCTGCCCCACATTAATGTTCAGCAGCGGGGGGGGGCTTGGCCCTGAGGGGAAATGGCGGCGGGGGGGGGCGAGGGTTTCTTCCTGCCCTACTCCAAGATGGCCGCTCCGCCTTCGCCACGCACGCCCTGCGCATGACGCACTTCCGCCGCGGCGCTCGTCCGGCCCGCTCGCTTCTCTCCGCCCGGGGCCGCGGGGTGGGAGCGGGCCCGGGGGGGGCCCCGAGGAGCCGGGCCGGGGCCGGAGGGAGCCAGGTCGGGAATGAGGAGCCGCTACAGCCCGCACAGGTACCGGGGCTGCGGGCTGGGCTCAGCGGGATGAGGGTGGGGAGGCCGCCGGGGGTCTCCCTGCAGCCCCGGCCCAGTCGTGAGGGGGCCTCGTGAGGTGAGGGGGGGGCTCGGCGCCCTTTTGTCCTGTTCTGTGGGGGTTTTGTGCTCCCCAACGCCGGGCCGGGGTTCTTCTGCCTTCCCCTGAGGCCTGGGAGCTCGGAGGTGGGGGAGGTTTGCCCCCAGCAGCAAGCAGGTCGTCAAAAGGTGCCCCCGGTGGTGCTTTGCCTGCCCTTGGTGGTGCTTTTCCTGCTCCGTGTTCCCAGCTACCCTTAGAATCATAGAAGGGTTAGAAAGGACCTCTAAAATCACTTAGTCTTCATGCAGTGGAGTTGTCACCCCTCGGTCATTTCTCCCCCCAAACGGCTTGATGTCGTTCAGCCTTTCTAAAGGTTTTGGTGTGCTGCTGTGCCTGTTCCTGCCGTTTGACAGTGGTAGGGGTGTTGCCACAGCCGGGCTGTGGCTCCCCACACAGACAGGTGGGTGGTTCGTGCTCTGAGCTGGCCCCTTGCTAAGTGCTGGGGTTTTAGGCCTCCGGTCACCACCTGCTCCAACGCCTAAAAATGGTTTTCAGAGCAGAGCTAGGCTGCTTACAGGATGTTACCTCCTAAAGTCTTCCGATAGAGGTTAAAGCTGCTCATAGTAAAAATGACAAGACCAATTTCTTGTTGCATATGTTTTAATATGAATCTTTATTCTTTCACTGCAAATACCTGTGTTTACATAGCTTCATCAGAATTTTAGGAGACTTTATTAATGATGTAACGTTTTACAGTTCTGCATTTGTTTATGCTCTTCCCTTTCTGTTTGTAGGTCATTTAATCCATTCACAATAATTTAATTGGCCAGTATCTGGAGTAAAAAAGGAAAAAATGATGTCAAGACAGGCCTTCCTCTGCGGTTTGGGATCTCTGTATTTGTCCCTTCTGTTTGTGTTTCTTCTAATGGATGTTTATGCAAGGCCTGCAAACAACTCAGCCCTCAAAGAAAAGGCAGCTGACAGTAAAGATGAGAATGAGATCTTGCCCCCCGATCACTTGAACGGGGTCAAAATGGAGATGGACGGACATCTTAACAAAGAATTTCATCAGGAAGTTTTTCTGGGAAAAGAGATGGAAGAGTTTGAGGAAGATTCAGAACCCAGAAAAAACAGGAAGAAGCTCATGGCCATCTTTTCAAAGTAAGTTGTGTACACTGCCAAGAAAAGTGCAGCCTTTTCCTGATCTTTGGAGTAAAATTAGTAAATTTTTTATTTCATACTAAAAAAAAAATGGTAATGGGGGAAGCATCATTCTGTGGGCAGTGTGCTTGCCTTATTAAGATTGTAACGTGGCTGTCTCAAGTATTTTTAGAAGCAAGAACATGTTGAGAGTTGCAGTCAGTATTCAGGATTGTCAGAAAAAGTAACATTACTTTTTTTCTAGTGTATTGGGTTTACGTGGCAAGGTTTTTGGTAGTGGGGGGCTGCAGGGGTGGTCTCTGCGGGCAGCTGCTGGGCTCTGCTCCGTGTCAGAGAGGAGCTGGCTGCAAAAGGGACCTGCTGCTGGCCAGAGATGAGCCATGAGCAACTGTTGTGCCTCTGGGAGATCAGATTTACCCCAAGGTGAGTGCAGCAGGAGGCAGGAGGTGCTCCAGGCACACAGCAGCAGTTCCCCTGCGGCCTGTGGAGAGGCCCCTGGTGGAGCAGGCTGTCCCCCTGCACCCATGGGTTCCCCATGGAGCAGATCTCCACGCTGCAGCCTGTGGAGGAGGTGGATGTGGCGTGGAAGAGGCTGTGGCCCATGGAGAGCCCCCGCAGGAGCAGTTTGGGAAGGATGGCATCCTGTGGGAGGGACCCCATGTGTCCTTATCTCAACCTCTGAGCCTTTTTTTCTTTTTCCATCATATTTTCTTCTCCTCCCCACTTCTTTTGAGAAGAGGGGGTGTGAGAGAGCAGTTCTGGTGAAGTTCAACTGCCCAGCAGGGTGAAACCGTAAACCACCACACCTAGGTTTCCACCTCAGTGAACCTGTGAACAGTGAAATCATGTTTGTAGTTTAGATTAGAATTAGTAGATTAGGGTTTCCTGACTGATAGGATGCCTACGCAATTAACTGGAAAAGTAGGATTTTGTTCCATCACGAAGCTTTATTGCTTTGCTGTAAGTTTGGGGTCAGTTGCCATTCGAAGTTTCTTTTCTCTCGTTTGGGCTTATATTCCCTCTGGATTTTGTTTTTATTTCTCTTGTGGCTTCTGCAAATTACTGCAGAGGAGAAAACACTGAAAAAGATGCTGTGGGGAAACCAAAAGAGGAAAAGAGACAGACAGTGGTGTAAGATGGCAATAAACAAACTAACAATTGCTTTCTGTTCATAAAACTTTCTGCTGGGTGCTAAGTATTTAAAATGTGAGTGTGTGGAAATACACGGGGTTAAAAATAATTGTGTCTAACTGCGTATATCAAGAACTCAGAAGTTGACATGAGAATAGAAAGGTTCAATTTTTTGTAGCACTTTTGAAAACTCCATATGGCTGTTTATTTGGTGTAAAAATATTTTAGGCATTAAAACCTTTCCTTTCATAAAGCTCTTGTGTTAGGAAAGGTTTGTGTCAGCTAATGCAATTTCAGTAGGTAATTAATTGGAGGTCAGTAAACGTAACAGAAACCAAAACCAAGGTGTACTGGTAGACACTAGATGGCGGAGTTGGCTTTATTTGCATTTTTGCCATTGAGGATTAATTTTATGAGAACAGCTTCGATTGCACTGGTGCTGTTACTGGTGGTGTGGGGACGTGCGTTTACGTGAGATGAAGTGAGAAGGCTTAGCAAAGTTTTTTTTTTTTTTTTTTGCTGACTTTTCACTAGCAGGGAAAAAGGTACCAATAATAACACAGAGATGTTTTTGGTTTTTTTTGGTGTTCTCCTGAGTAAAGACAGCTAAAGCCAACAGGACAACCAGAATGCCTTCTACATTTAGAGTACTATTACTTACTGCGTTGATATTCAGACCACTGACTTCACTGGTAGGATGCACAAGTAGCTCTTACGTGGGACTGAAGGAACAAGTGGCAGTTTACAATTCTGTTTCAGTTCCTGTAGTCACTCTGTACTGGCCTTAACTGTCTACCAAAGCAGTTTGTTGCGAGTTAATCCATCTAAATGTAAATATGAAGATTGTGGTGAGAAGATTACATTTTCTTTATTGCTGTTTACATGCTCAGTGGAAACGTTGATTTGGTGGTTAATCTATCTCGTGCACAATCACAAACTGTTCGTTGCTGCCTGTTTGTTATGAAAGAGGTTGATTTAGGCAGCTTAAAGCAATTGGATTAGAGATCAACTTCAGTCAGATATTTAAAATTGCATTCTATTAGATGATCCCATTAGAAAATACTAAATGATTTTGAGGAGCTTGCTTGTTTCCTGGACATTCTCTTAAAGGCTGAGTGAAGAGAGAAATACTACGAGCTTCTGAGAAAAGCTCGTATCTCACAGGTATCCAGATGCTGCGGAAGTATTTTCTTTCAAGGCATAAAAAAAGCCTGCACCGTTTTTTGTTAATGAAAGCTGAGGTTCTGTGGCGTGTCAGGATGCTATAAAGTACTCAGTTCAAAGCATAACCCCTTGTCTAAGGAGCTAGTGAAAATAAAGGTGAAACGTGGAGGAAAAGCTTCCTGAATGATGTTTTTCTAGCTCTTACGTGTGACTGAAAGAGCAAGTGGCGTTTCAGAATTCTGTATTTCGGTTTCTTTCGTTGCCCTTTACTGGCCTTGCTTGTCTGCTGAAGTGGTTTCTGGCAAGTCAGTCCGTATTTCCACTTCATCCCGTGAAACTGGGGCATGGTGCAGAAATCCTGGGCGCATCTTTCTAGCCTTAGCCAAGGGTAAGTGGTCAGGTACCTTCGGGCAAAGCAAATCTGTGAGAAGGTGTGAAGTGACATGCTTCTCTTTCATCCGTATCCGAACTGGAATTTTTAAAAGGAGGGGGTTAAATTAGCTGTGCGTCTATAGATGATTCTCTTCTGTGCTGTAGTTTGGCATGCGTAGGTGGGTGTTGATGGGAGGGAAGGAGGAGGAAGGATGTTGAAAGCAATTGACTGTACTTATGGTGATGTTGATTTCACTAAATCGACGGCACTGGTACTAGAACTTAGTCTTTGTGAGGTTGTAAGGGAAAGTTGTCTGGTAAATTGAGTCACGTCTCTTCTGTACTAAGTACTTCAATTCAGACTGATAGATTCATCAGTTTTGTTCAGTAATGTGACGTATGTGGCTTTCTGTCAGGATGTCTGTGGTGATTGAGTTCTCTGTGAGTTTGAGAGTTGAGTACCCTTCTAGGATTTTGCTGATGTTTT